TTTTTTAATTGATTTAACGTCATAAAAAGCTCTTCAGATGTTGGCTCCGTAGTGCCATACCCAGGTACAGGACCATGTAAATATCTGTCTACATGCGTCAAATTTAACGGTGCACTATTATTTGTGTTTGCGTCGCAGCTGGTATCGAGATCATCGTAAATTAATTTTTCTTGTATTCTAAGCTAAAAGTAGAAAAATATATAAGTTTTATTCGAGAGGTCCCTACTTTTTGCGTAAACATAAGACGTATATTATGAATTTACTTTTTTTGTTTTTGGTTCTTCATCCAACTGAGAGGATGTCGTAATTTTGCTTGGTGATGGAGTTGAACCATTTAATTGTGGTTGTGCAGATTGTTTGGCAGTGCTGGCTTTTAAAACCATAATGCTGTGTTGATTAAATCTTTTGATCATACTTTGATGTACAATATTCCCTGAAACTTTATCGGATTTGCTAGGTCCGTTCCCATAATTCTCATCCAGTGTTTGATCTTCAAAAGAAGTTATGTCCACCAATGGATCATTGATACCCGATTGTATATCTTTCTTCAGTTCTTGATCATCTATTTTGGCACATTCGGTAAAAAGATCCTTGGTCCCTGCATTGATACGATCTCGATGAAAATAGTGTGACTGGAAGAACTTTGTCCAAAAATCGGATTCTGACATTTTATGAGGCACATTTTCTTCGTGTTTTCTTTTTACTGCTGGGTAAGTCTTAAATATACAATCTATTATATCGATAGTTAAATTATACTTCAACCCATTACATCCATCGGTTTGTGGCTTGATGTCAGCCTGGAAATAATATATTCAAATATTAAATTTGTTCGTAATTAGTAACTTATACTCGAATAACAAAGAGCTCTTACCAAAAAAGCACTATTAACACCTATTTCTTGACGTTGACTCTTTTTAGCTTGAGTATATTCTGCAGCATGTTGCGACCAAAATTCTTCAGATGTAATAACTTGTGTAATAACTAGATCTCTGTATAATTGAAGTAGTCCTGGATTTTCCTGGAGCATTCTGATAAATAATGTTTATTGTAATATTTGAATGCAATAGAATCTCATTACATTGTCCAAATCTCACCTATTCTTCTCTTCTAATTCTTTATTTACTTTTCTTTTAAATTTTGGTAGTAGCTGTTGAAGTAATTCTTTTACATCATCACGGTCCTTAATTTGTGCTTCTTGGCCGTTTCTGTTAACAAAGTGAAATGTAGATGATGCACCATCATGCAATACAACTTGCAGTTGTATTTTTGACTTTCCTTCTGGTGATATCTTTTGCACTAAAAAGAAAAATACTATGATGTATACATTAAAGTATAAAGTAACAGTTTATTTCTGTAGATATAATTGTTTCTTTTACTTTACCAATTATAAATATAAATGAAAGTTAAATTATAAACAAAATGATATATACATATCTTGTTTAATACAAATTAACAAAAATGTTTAATAAATGTTTAATAAAAATGTAAAAATATATATGATTAAAATAACATACATTACATAAAAAATATATGTAGTGAATTTATAGCAATATGATTTTTTGTAATATTTCTTTTATTAAACAATGCTTTGGTCATTACACGAATTTTCTTACATTTAATGTCAGCATATTTATGACTGACAGATACAGTATCTCTATTATCAAGCATCCAAGCTATTCGTTCATTCATGACATATAAAGTGCCATCTCCTTTTTTATAACGAACTTGTCCTACTTGCATCAGAACATCTTCCGATGATGTAGTCATGGCGGATATAATGTATTGTACAATTCTTCTATAAATAATAGATACAGTCCTAAAAAAAGTATATCACAAAGTAAGTACAATCTTTACAGCTTTATGTGATTTAATTAATTAAAAGTCATCAAATCAATAACTACTCTATGTAAAAAAAAAAATAAAAATCTAAAAAAAAAAAGGTTTCTTTTCTATGGATCTTTAAACAAACTGAATACTTATTAGATAATTGTACACCAAAAAACTATTTCTGGAAAACTATTAGCACTGTGTCATCAAATGACAAATATTATCAGAAATAATGACTAATATACTTTACCATATTACATCATGTAACAAAAATTTTAACAACTCAACAAGGTATCGAAAAAACTAATTACGATATATTATTATCCATACAAACATTCAACATTAAGCATGATTTCACTCAACGAAAGTTACACATATCAAAAAAATTGTTTTTCCATCAAAATCTATATTCCATTACGAACAAAAAATTCTTGACAATCACCTCGGCGTATTTGTAAAAATGTTCCCAATAAACTATGAGAAAACGTTGAAATCATACAATTTTAAGAAAAGTATATCACTATATAGAAATTATAGTTTGTCACTGTGCGTCCTTGAATGCACAGTGGAATATAATAAATTTTCGAAAAAAGAAACCTTTTATAGCTCGTGATACAAAGTTGAGGAGAAATCTATTAAGTTCGATAAACAATGAAATTCCTAAAGACGAGAAAGAAATCCCAAGTCCACGGTTACGGACTAAACACTGATGCGATATTGCCCGCCGTGATACACTTTTCGATTCATTAATTATGGTTATCGACGGAAAAATCGTTTTTCGTATCGTTCAACGCGCATAACGCGTGTTTTTTAATCGTGGCAGTGGGAATTCTAACGATAATAGGTTCATTTACCGGTGACAAAGTGCGAAAAACCGTGGAACAATGCAGAAGCCCGTCGGGCGGCACGGCCATGTGCAGAAACACACATCGGTGGACGCATCGCGAAGCAAAGACGGCTACGAACGGACCGTCGGTACGAACAGCACCATCGACCTGCTGAGACTACCGCACTCTGTTGTTCGACTCAACTTCCATCCAGTTTCCTGTGGTTAAAGCCTTTCTTTCTTCTGTTTTCCTCCTTCGATCCTACAATTAAACTCTCGATTATATTCTATATTAATATATACAACTCTACGATTTCTACCACAAAACCACGCAGCAAAAAACAATAATATTTCGGACGAAAGTTGTGAATTTGACTATAACAGCGTAACTTATATTTCTACGATACGATACAAGCATGCGTAGTTACAAGGGCGCTGAGACGCGCGAGATTTTAATAGATAATGTGTTAATTTTAATAAGCGAATAATTATAAACACGGAAATTTGATATGTGTCATTACTAAGACTATAAGGAAATATCATTTGAAACATGAAGTAATATATTATTCTGTTTTAAGTTGCAGCTACAAAAATCATGTGACTCTTGAATACAAATTTATTCACGTAGTTGTAAATTACATGATACGTAGTAAGTACAAACATGATCAATTCTAGTTCGTTATTGATTTGAAGTTGCTATGAAATGGTTAGACTTCAGAGAGTAGATTTATGAAATCTAAGAAATCGTTTATCGATAAAAATTTTGTTTCATTAGTAAAAACAGACGATTTGGACGATTACGAAATTTAAATATAATGGAAGGTCTCACTTTCTCTCCAAGATTGATTTTGCTTATTATAATTTCATTATATTTTACACTTATAAATTAAAACTGAATTTGATATTTCAAATATTAACTGTTTGAAAGAGATATAAAAATTTGTACCTTTATCATTTTAATATACGTATTATTTTAAGATACATTTTAGACTAAAATTCTTTTCATTTATAAATAGGATTTAAGTATATTATACAAAAGCAAGAGCAGCATAAAATATGCTTTGGATCTGGATGTCCTCGTGACACATCTAAAAAGGGTATGAGCCCATTTATGAGGTATTATACTTTAGAGGATTATCCAAATGTAGCACCAAATTTATATAATGCCCTACAATCGTTTAAAGCAATTACAAGAAAGGTATAAATATAATTCTAGTCAATGGTACTTTCAAAATATCTTAAAATAAAAACGATATACATTTAAATAATATATTTGTTGTCAGCCTTGTTCTCACAGTATTAGTAAAAAAGGTTACAGTGGTATTGCCAGATATAGCAAACATATTGTATTAAAAAATGATTACCCATCGTCAACAGATTACAATACTTCCTCATTTCCTAAACAAATACCTAAATCAAAGTACCCATTTGATTCCAACAGCAAGAGGCAGACATTTGTTACCAATACAAATCCAGGGTATACAAAAAGATTATTAAAATAGTTAGAATAATTACTTGGATCGAATGAATTAATATTAAACATAATCTAGTCCAGGATTATATGTTAGTGCTAAAAGAGAAGGGATTACATTTGAGCACAGTTTCGGTGGTAGGGTGAAAATGAAACTTGGTGTGGATCTGAAATGTTGCAGTAAAAATACAGATGTTTGCCAAATATGTGGTAAAAGACTAAATGATGACTATTGGCATTTAGAAAATGAAATATTTTTATGTCGACTATGCATGAATACAGAATATGAGAAACAGACGAATTATAAAAAAACGGAATTAAAACTATTTCGTGTAAGATTCTATACATGTTACGATAAATTATAATTACTACATAAATATACATGCATACAAATGTTATACAATATTTTAGAAAATACGAGATTGTTCGATTGTACATCAACACGAAGGAACAACTGCAAAAATATGGTTAATGCATCCTAAAATTGTGGCACAATGGATACAAAGAGAAGCTTACCTTTCCACCTACTTAAAAGGGTAAATACCATTAATTACGATTGGTACTCGAACAAAATTTACTGCATAACGACGTAGCAAAACAAAATTTAATTTCAATATTTATTCTTTTGAATACTTTAATGCAAATACTAAATTTCTTATACTGATTTCACCTGTTCCAATTTCGATCAACATCAATTTCAATTCATACAATTCGTTACAATAAATTTATAGTTGTTTAAATATGATATATACAAACATTATATAAAAAAATAGTGAGATTATGTATTTATATATAATGTACGCGTGTTGTGTGTCTGTGTGTATACAGCAAATACATTAAGTAGTATAATTGCTTAAGTTTAATATCAGTAATAAATTCTATTTGATAATATATATTTTTGCACTGATGTTATTATTACGTATACATGGTAATCAGTCCACACGAAAGGAAAACTACCGATTAATATCAGGTATTACCTTTGTGTTAATATGCGTGTGTGTACGCGTATAAGTGGCAACAGTGATATCCTTTAAAGTTTGTCGTTAGTAAAATTATATTGTGAAAGAATCAATATCACGAAAAAGCAATGTAGACAGTGCTACTTTAAATATTTTTTAAAACTATTATGTTGAACAATTTTTTACGAATAAATCAATATTTCATCTACGACTTTTCGCTACTTTTAGTTCGAACTAGAGCCATGCTTATATAGATTAATAATATATTTAATTGTTTTTTTTTACTCTGTTCATTAAGAATGCCGAGATCACGTCAAGCATAAGGGACCTTTTTTGTCACAATGCCTATATTTTTAAGACTATTACGTATTTTCGTATAAACAAATGTATATAACTCAATAAAATATGTATCAACGACCGTGCAAAGTTTCAAAGAAACATCTGAAATAGTTATCATTTTATAAAATTCTAAAAATGCCCTAATTTTTACATATTCAGGCTAAAATACCTTAATGAAATGTAGTTCCAAATTCACAGAATTTTGTTTTTGTATATACTGCGTGCAATCGGGAAATAATTGCTATTATAGTTAAGTTATATGCTTACGAATATACATCATAATATTAATTATTGACTTAATAATTCCATTGCATATCAATTAGAACTACTCGATGATGAATCTTGCGCTTCATCTTTCTGTTGCCCAGTCAACGGTTTTGTGGCATCTTCTATAGGGTTACCGCCATCGGGAGCTTGCCTCGACAATACAAGAACAGACGTTTGAGAGGAAGTAGGATAATTATTTTCAGTCGTATCTGTGTCGATTGATTTTATCGAAGTTTTTTCAGGCGATATAGTTGCAGTTGATTCTGTACTATTACTCGATAGTAGATCATTGTAACTGGATTTATGGAGAACAGTTAAATCAATCTTATCGTCAATATTTCCCGATACTCCAGATGGTGTCATTCTAAACTGTTCAGCATTTTCTGGAAACGATCCATCGATCTCCATTAAATTCTGCACTTTATTGAGTCTAGTATCTATCGACGTACTAAAAGCTTTAGTATAGCGATTATCTAATTGTTCAATGGCCTCTTCCTCTGGTGATGTATTTGAGTAATGTAAGTCTGGCACTAAATGCTGATATAAAAGTGGACTAAAAATATTATTTAAATCCATATGACGAATGTTCGAGGCTACCAGATAAGTTGTTAATTCGTCACATTTCGATGTATCATTATTTTCCTCGGCAACTAGTTCTTCACGGATTACTGTAGACATTTTGTTAGTGACTTGTGATTGTGCAGATACTTCAGGTGAATTTCTATTAATACATGCATCATCTCCATTAGTGAAACGATTTATTAGTTGGCCTTTGAAAGCTGGGATATTCTGCTGATCTAAATCGTCCGTTTGGGTAGGTACCGTGCATACTCTGAGTTCTTGACTACATTTATTACTACCTTGTGAACTGTTATCTTGTGGTAAATTTTTCGATAAACCTGTAGTATTTTTCCTTATCGGTATAGTTGTAGTCGAACGTGATTGTGGGGGAAATTGTAAAGACAACTTGTCAAGTAAATAATTTATATGAGTTTTTGTTCCTCGTTCTGGATAATCAGCAAAGTTATTATCTAAAGTTTTAATATTTTGCATTAAATGTTCGCTTCGATGTTGTATTTGGCAATTATCATTCGATAAACTTTGTTTACTATAACTCGACATTGTAGAGGCACCAGGTTTAATTTGTTCATAACTAACTGTCGCGTTATGACTAATATAGGGTTCAGACGAGCGTTTTCTAATTTCGTTTCCACTCGACACAATTTGATTTCCGTTCTCTATGATATCTCTATTATGCAATAATTTTTTATCTGACTTAGGTAATTGACATATTTTATTAGTATAATTAGCTGCCGTGGCAGACATCATGCTATCTGCATTTTTATAATCGTTATTTTCATTATCACTATTTGGTTCATTTAAATCAAATTCATTTTCAAAGTCATCTTCGAAAGCTGTATTCGTAACATCGCGTAGTCGCAATTCTAGACGTTTCGTAATTTCATCTAATTCAGTTAATTTTGTCTTCAAGGATAAAGATAAGAATGACATAGACACATCTTCAAGGCCAACATGCGATACAGGATCGGTAAACTGATTTTCACTATGTATTGATTTATCTTCTTCTTGTGCAGATGTTAATATAGCGTAATTGGTATTATTTCTTTCTGTATCATCAGAGTGCATCTCAGAGGTATGTGATGGAAACCAATTTAAGTGCAATGCATTACATGTTGGAATTCGCGTTGTACTTAATGTTGATGTTGGTTTTCCAAACAATGATAAATTATCCAGTGGTGTTATAGATACCTGAAATATATTTAGTAAAATATATACTAATAAATATGACAATAAATATAAATATAATCTAAAGAGTACTTTAATTTGTCCATTGCATTTTCCAGTGAAGTCCATTATATGAAACCATCCAGATACTATAGGAAAACCACTAATTAAGACAGAAAGGTCAATAGCGGAAAATCCAATAACGATATCTCTTTCTAAGTTTATTTGTGTACTAGTGTCTGCATCGAATATACGCCAAATTTTTAAAATCAATCTTTTTTCATCCTAAAAAAAAACATTATGTAATAAAAAGAAATAAATTATTTATGGACTTTTAAAAAATCACATACGTGTAAAAGCAATTCTGTTGGCAGTTTTGCGTCACATTTCCAGTTCCATTTAGGATTGCAACTATGTGGGAAAATATTGGTAATCATGTACGAATTTAAATGTTTTGAAGGATCAGATTTATTGGCCTGAAAAGATACATATGTACTAGGCTCAATGGTTTCGTTAGTTTTTTCTATTTTTGGTAAATGCATTGCACATTCGATCTCTATAACAGCTCGAAACATTGTTTGGTCATGCACCGAATCCGTTGATTTCTTTTCTGTATGAATTGCAATTGGCAAATCAAATGTTGTATTGTCATAACCAATGTTTGGTTGGTGATCTATTCCTTCATTATATTCTGCACCAACACCAACACTTCTATACGTTTCTGTAGGTAAATGAAAATTGTGTCTAGTGCTACTACTATCACTGTCATCGGAACTGTTATTTAAATTCAATCCGTTTATACACATATGTTCTTCTACATCTACGTGCTGTTTTTCATCCAAACTTATTTCAGTTTGCGCTACTTGATCTACGTTTGTTTTGTTAACATTTAAAACTTCTGTTAAACGACCAACTAAAGTATGTAACACTGAATGTTCCGAAGTTGGAGTTTCTTCTTCTGTTTCTATATTAAACTTAAATTCTTTGACAGTCGATATATCTGTCTGGCACTCTTGCGTTTTTGAATTTATAGAGCGCATTTCTCTTTCAGTTTTATCGGTAACATAAAATTGAGCATCGTTTTGCGAAAATGTTTCCATATGTGGTTGCAATTCGTAAGTGGTATATTTTATGGACTGTTGCGCGTTCTGTGGATACTTTACGGATTCAGGAACATTTTCTGAACAATTTATCGTTTGCGATGGGATATTGATATTCCGTAAGCCTCTTGAGATTTCTAACAATGCGATCTGTTCTGCAGTTCCAAGAGCTACTAATGCAAGTAACTGACCACAGGATTGACCAGTGACAGGATCAACAACTGGTACCCATCCATCCACACTGACAACAGGGTACTACAATAGGAAATTATAAAAAATTGTATGAATGAATTAGGGTAGAATTATCTTAATCAGAAGTTATACCTTAGAAAGTAACAAGTGAGGTATTACACGCGGATCTCTGTATGCAACGTACAGTTGGTGTACAGGCAATTTTGCCAATCCTAATAGATTATCTATGTTGTTATTTCTATAATAAACTTCAATGATTATGTAATTGTCTTTAATGCGATCTAGTAATTCGGTGTCATGAATAAGAGGTACTAACTGTAATATAAAAAGCATCTATAAGTATTTAAATATATTTGTATACAAAATACCAACAGAAAGGAAACAAATAAAATACTTACTTGACAGAACCGATAAAATGGATTTTTTGTGTTGTTACAGATTTGACTCCTACTTTTATCCTCCTTCCAAAATGCTCTACATATTAAATACGTATTTAATTCTGGCAAATCTTTTCCTTCAGCTATATGTATTAAACCCTGAAGTAAAACCTGTAAAATAATCATACTTTGAATGAGAATAGCCAATCGATTATAGACCAATAGTCATTGAAAGGTACTACTCATGTAAATTATATTTTTATACCATGTCCTTAACATTATTTTCCTGATCTTTAGCATCAACTTTTTTACTGTCCATATTTTCTGTCTTATGCCATGTTGAATCTTTTGTAGCAAGTAAGTGATTATCAGCAGTAATAAAGTCAACATCTTTTGTTGAAAGGGAGGACATTTGACTACTTGTCTTTGATTGAGCTTCTGTTGCACTTCTACTTCTTTTATTGTTTCTTTCTTGGCTTAACGATCGTTGTATCTCCAGAATAGGAATATTTTCTTTGGAAGACATTATACCATCTAAAAAGGTATAATATATATGTAAAATTTGAATACCAACATTTTTTCTCCATTAAAATGTGCTTACCAATATACTGCTTTCCAAAATGAATAGAATTTGAACCTAATTCCGCAATTACACTTAACTCGCCAACTTTTATTCCTTTATTAAGAATAATCAAACGTTGTGCAATGCTCCAATTTTCGCTTTTTATAATATCATTAATGTGCATAATACCAGTGCCTAATTCGGTTAATGATTTTTTATTAAAATGTTGGATAAATATTTTGTATTTTATAAAATACTCTGTGTATGGTTTTAATTTTGATATTCCATATATACCACCATGGTTAAAATAAATTACTGCAAAAAGTGTGTTTAATTAATACAAATATATGTATATATAATATAAGCATTGCAATAGACAACACTGCAATGAATATACCTTGTTTTGTTTCCATTTTGGAACATATTCTGATAGGTTTACTTTTCTTCACTGATTTTTTTCCTGTTTCCTTATTATGATCAAATGTCATATCATATTGAACAAAATATGTTGCAGATAAGAAGGTATTATCATTATCTAAAAAGAAATGTAATTATTTTATAAGGGAAAATGTATGTACTTTAACTACTCTTTAGATTCAGAAAATGTACATACGTGATAAACAAGAGGATTTAACACGCCTATAACCAGCAGGACTTAATTTAAATGATTCCACAAAAATTCTAATACAATCTACATGATCCAACAATAGAGTTTCTGGAATATAACATGTTACAAGTTAATTTGTACTATCAAATTGTACTTATCTTTTACTTAAATGTTTTACCTTTTGACTTGCTATCAAGTTTTTCTTCTGATATTTCTTCCATTGAAAATTCTTGTTCAACAGATACATTATTTGATATAATTTCCTCCTTATCATTTTTATAGTCTTTAAAACTGTTAGATGCAATATGTATCAAACTTGGAGTTGGAGATGTTGATCTTAAAGTATATAATGCTTTTTGTTCATCAAAAGGAGTCATGTCTTTACCCAAAAAATATTCACATAATTTTACTTCATCTTCAAGTTGTAAACCTTCATTTAATGAATTATCATTAAAAGTAAGAATATCCTCATTATGAGTTTCTCTCAATATTGCTCCCCTGAGCTTTTGTGCCCTTTCAACAACCTGTGCAACAAGTTTATCTGTTACCTCATTATTACATTTTTTCAAAGGTTCTTGAAATTCCATTCTTCTTGACTTCAAAATAGATTTGTAAATTTCACTTTCTTCAAGTTTCAATTTTCTGCATGCACTGTATGTATCATCTACTATGTCTTTTGGACACTTAAAGCTATTAACAGCTGAAAGCTTGATATTATCAACACCTTGTTTATTTTCATAGTTATGTGTTTTCAATTGCATGTTTGGAGATTTTGTAATATGCTCTAATTTCATAGAAACATGTATTTCTCCTATTTTATTTCCAGAATCATTTATCATTGGAACATATTTAAAGCATGGTTTTCCTTCAAAGATCTCTAATAAATCTGCGATTTTAGATATTCCTACAACTATGTTAGTTTCCTCAGAAATAATTGCTAATTCTATACACTCACAATTTTTAACATACTCTTCAAAGAGACTTAGACTGGTACGAATAACATAAATTTCAGTAGTGTCTTGTTCTGATCTTACAATATTTTTTGTAATGTCTGCTGGTCTGAAAAGAAAGTGCGTATTATACATTTAAAAATCCAAATCATGAAAATAATAATATGAAAGAATTACTACTATAACTAAGATATTAAATCTCACATTACTGTTTGTTTTGATAATGTTAAATATACTTTTAAAAAACTTCTGAGAATGTCACAAATATTTTACCTAAATTCAGCACTTTCAGTCTCACCCCACCAAGATGCAAATATTTTAATTTCTCCTGGACTTCTGTTAGACCAAATGACTTCATCAATAACAAGTTTTAAATAACCATGAATTTTGCCTTCGACTAACGGCGGTAGAGATTTGTGAGATTTCATCCCCGTATCCATTTATTTCTTTTAATACAGTCCATTATTAAATTTTTACGTTCCTTTATATCTGTCACTGATTTAGGTTAACATTACAACAAGCACAACAATTAAACGCTACCGGTTCTTAATTGCAATTTAATAATGTAAACGCACAGTAATTGTAAAAACAATGGTTAACACCAGTTAACACTGACACTTTTATTTTGCCCTTTTATCTTTGAACTAATAATTATAAAATCAATGTATAGTTCGTCATCTTCAATCTAATTTCGAGTCACAATTACAAAAACGGCGTATGTGCTGCCACCTTTTTAAAATGTACGTAGCTTTGCTCAAAGAAAATATCTGTGCGGTTTCTCGTAGGTTAGGTGCATTCAAAGTGACGCCATCGATGGAGAAACGCCCAAGTTTGTAGAGAGAATAGTCCCCACTGATTCCATAAGATGAAGACACTAACTAAAGATAGATTATTGATGCATTAATAACAATAATAGTGTTTAAATAATATATTAAATTAGTATATTGTAGTGTTATAAAGCAAAGAATTGTATTAATTATGTACTTATGAAAAATAAGGAATAACTTATTATAAGGTGTCGCTGGCCCCATCTTACGGAAATGGTAGGAACTATTTTCACTACGAACTTGGACGTTTTGCCACCGATGGCGCCACTGGTACCAAGCCCAATATTAATATATTTTATATCTTCACACTTACATAAATAAATGAATAAATAAATATATTAGTATATTTCAATAATTAGCTACTACTAGAGAGCGAACGCTTATTATAAGCTATAGCTTTTCAACCCAACTAACTGTAACCTATATATTTCAATCGAGTTTTTGAGTATCATGAACATCAAAGAATGAACATGACCCAAACGTTTCAAATATGCAAGAAATATATGAGAAATTATAAATTTCTCGATGTAAAAATGATATTAAATTGTCGAAAAATAAACAGATTGTTTTATTCGTCTCAGGATTCTTTACGTGCGAACGAAGGAAAGTCTCGAAACCTTTATCAGCATTTATACTCAAGAATTCTAGCATGTGGTCCTATTACTGTTGCTGATTATATGAAAGAAATTTTAACTCATCCAAGTGCAGGCTACTACATTAATAAAGATGTTTTTGGAGAGAGAGGTGATTTTACAACATCTCCAGAGATCACTCAATTATTTGGCGAAGTATGTTATTATTGTTTTAAGATTTGTAAGTGAATATATATACTTGAGGTCTATCTATATCTTGACTGTATATTTTTTAGATGATAGCAGTATGGATATTATACGAAAAGACGAAAATTTCGAAAGGTCCTTTTCAAATTATAGAATTGGGTCCAGGTAGAGGAACATTAATTAAAGATATACTGCGGGTATGTTTCTAATGTTAGAAAAAAAAATTAATAACTCATTGTATAAGTATCAATTTATCATGTAGGTGTTTAAGCAGTTACACATTCTAAATGACATATCTGTTCATTTGGTGGAGATCAGTCCTGCTCTTTCCTTAATTCAAGCAAAAAATTTATGTAAAACTATTAAGGAACATGACACTAAAACAAACGAATCTGAACAGAATTCTATTACTTATTATAGAGAAGGTGTTACAGAAGATGGTGTGAATATATATTGGTATCATTCTATTATGGATGTACCTAGAAAATTTAGTATATTCCTAGCAAATGAATTCTTTGATGCATTACCAATACATAAATTTCAGGTATATGAATTACAGTTATATTTAATGGAAGATTATTAATATATATATTATGCAAGCGATTTGAACCTTAGAAAACTGACAGAGGATGGAATGAAGTTCTGGTGGATATAATTGAAGGAAGCAGTGAAGAAAAATTTCGTTATGTGCTATCTAATAAACCAAGCCCTGCTACTCTTTATATATCTGTAAGAATAGATATGCATTCCTGCTTTTAAATTAAAGTAATAAACAAAATTAAGTAAATAAACATTTTGTAGGATGATGAGAAAAGGGATCATGTAGAAATCAGTCCACAAAGTTTATTGGTTGTGGATTATATAGCTCAATATTTATCAGAATGCGGTGGATGTGCTTTAATTAGCGACTATGGTCACAATGGCGATAAAACTGATACTTTCCGTGCATTTTCTCAACATAAAATGCATGATCCATTGTCACGTCCGGGAACTGCAGATTTGACGGCAGATGTCGACTTTGCAGCTTTGATGAAAATCGCAATAAAAAACAATTATGTAATAACATTTGGACCCGTGACACAATCAAATTTTTTGAAAAGTCTTGGAATTGATGTAAGATTAAAACTGCTTTTAAAGAATGCTTCAAAAGAACAAAGAGAACGCTTGGAATCTGAATATCGAATGATTATGGATGAAGATAAAATGGGAACACGTTTTAAATTTTTATCATTATTTCCATCTATCTTGAAAAATCATCTTCAGAGACTACCAGTCACGGGATTCAGTAGTAAATAAAAGTAAAAAATAAAAGTAATGTTAATGAAATTATATCTATCTTAACTATCGTAACACGATAACTTTAAAAGTTGTATTTGTATGTACAAATTCATTTATTAAAATTATATTAAGCACAATTCGTAATCCCACAGTCATAATTTTTCCATATTTCTAAAAATTTGAGTACTTTCTGTCGTTGCTGGTCAAAAGTTTCTTTTTTTGGCTTTCGCCATACATCGTGATCTAAGTCTAACATTCCACCAATAACTTCCTGCGATAAATCAAGTAAAATTGCTTTATTAAAAAGTAAGGTTATGTTTTAATAATTTTTTCTAGAAAAAGTTACCTCTGCAAAATTGTTTGGGAACATCTGTTCATCTTCAATAACATGTGCATAACCTTTATCTGTTTCAAATTCCACCATGAAATAAGATAAACCATTGGGAACGGATCGACGAACGTCTTTGTGTTCAAGATCGATAATTTTTTTATTCATCGACCATTCCGTTTCACACTCCAATAAAGCTTTCTATACCAAGAACATTCAATACAAAGATTAATATTATTATAAATTATTTACTACTAATATATTTACCTTGAAATACATTGGTGCTGATTCACCAATTTCTTTTGGTAAAGGAACACATTCTAATTGCATATGTGAAAACTTGTGACGAATTTTATAAATTTCATAAAAGACTGGATATTGGTTTAGGTCTACAAACATCTTGTATAAAGCTCGTTTCAATACCTGCAAATAAGACAATTGTAAAGAAAAAAAATGTATGCTTATAAAAAATATTAAACGTGTCGTGTACCTTCAGCTTTTCCCAAACATTTTCGTCTAATTGTAATTGAGAAGCAACATGCTGTATAGGTGTTATTATACAATGTCCTTCAGTCAAAGAAATATAATTAGGAAGACTCAGACAAATTTCAGAATCCATTGCAACAATCATATGTTTCAACATGTATTTTGAATCAATACACCAACGACAATTATCCAGACTTTTTGATAGCCGTTTGTGTTCCTTGATGGCAAGCGAACGATCTCTCTCATCTTGTTTTGCATCTGATTTAACATGTGTAATTTTTTCTTCAAATATGTCATCCATATCCATATTCTGTAAAGTAGTTTATACATTTATTGGTTGGCATTATCGTTTTAAAATAAATATTTCGTTACACACCTTAGAAGCAAGTTTAACAAATGCTGCATCATCTTCATTTACAGATCTTCCTTTTTCACGTTGGAACTAAACAAAATTGATTATAACATTTGCATCCAGTATTATTAATTACGATTATTTATTTCAGTAGAATACTTACTAATTGTTGCAAAGAATATTTATCGTCATCGAAATAATGCCGCACTCTTTTTCCGGATTCGTGTGTTTGTTGAGGTTTGTGTTTTGTTCTTTTTGTAGATTCTGTAGACTGACTTCTGGACTCCAACGGCCTTGTGTTACCTTTTATGTAGAGTCAATTGTTAACAAATCATTTACTTTATGTGCAATGATTTTTACATATTTAATGCATACCCTTAACATCAGTTTGTGTAAGAATTACATTTTGAACTGTTTCTGTTTCATCTGACTGCATAGTTTTTGTAGCAAGTTCTGTTGCTTTTTTCAATTGAATTTTTAATTCATCAGCAAGTTTCTATAAAAAGGAAATGCATGAATTTTATGATTTACTACTATTTTTACACCTGTGATATAAATATCCAATACACACGTACAGTATTACCCATTATTTCAGCTTTAACAATCTTTGCTCCTAACTTATTCATTTCTGCTTTTGTTAGAGATTTAGTTTCCTCGGATTCTGAATAATTTATATTGCTATTGTTTTGAGTATCAATTGCTTTTATTTCAGATGCATTTGAATCTAATTCATTTTTTTCAATTTTATCTGACATTTTCGGTCTTTGCCACTTCTTTATAGCAGAACTATGTGTCTTATGTGAGGTGCTAACAACACAATCATCATCAATGGGTTTTTTATATTTCTGCTTTGGCCATTTTTCATACTTCAAATCATCATGTGATCTGTATTCATTTCTATGCTCATTTCTGTCTTGACTTTTAGATGTAGATCTAAAATCTCTGTATCTTTCATTTTGTCTCAAATGGCTTTGAGACTTAAATCTTTTATTATTATATGCAATATTTTCTGATATCTGTTTTTCTGACCCTCTTTCTGCTTCAGATATCATTGATTGTATAACTTCCAAGGACTAAAGAAAAATTTGATATTAACATTATTTTTATATTTTAAAAATAATAAAACATACTTACACCCCATCTTTCAGCTGCAATCTCTTGAAGACTTCTACCCTCATGTTCTGCTTGTTCTTGTGCTCGTTTAAGACTTTTCCTTAACCAATCTACAGATGCTGTTTGTTTTATATTTGTTTTTATTGAACTACTACTAGGTAGGCCATTGCCACCATGTCTCCAATAAGGATTTAATTCTCTGTCACTTTGACCCAATTTATCCAAATCAGGTTTACCAGCATTTTTATTTATGGTAGAGGATGATGGTTTATCCTTATTAAATACACATGGAAATACACTTTTTATATTCATCCAATCTTCTCTTTCGCAAGGTTCTTTTTGTGTTGTTGGAATAGGTATATTTTTCTCTGTAGATACAGATTGTGATACTGACTTTTCCACCCATTCTTGTTCATCCTCGCTACCTATCTAAAATTGTGTTAATTTTGTAATTAATAGTAGAATAGATATAATAATATTTTAAAAGGTTAAACAAATATAAGAGCAAATTAAATATTTACACTACTTGAACTCGATTCATTGTACTTCTTTTGCTTCCTATGCTTTTTATTTTTCTTCCCTGACTTATGTTTTTCATGTTTAGATTTGCTTTTCTCTTTCTTGTGTTTCATTGTCACTGTTTATCACTTGAAAAACTCTGCTAATAAATATTACACAGTTACGCACCATAAACCTGATAACAGGTTCCTGCAGGTTTCGTTTTACCTTCAGAATACGCTCCTGTATATTCAGTTGTTGATTGGAGTGTCAGATGACGCTAATTGAACTTTCTAATCTAATTTAATAAAATATCCAAAGTATTGGTTTCATTAATTAAGTATTTTTCTTATTAAATACAGGAAAGATTATTTAAGGAAGGCCGCTTACCAAAGTAACTGCTTTGTATTTATTTACAGCTCTGGCAAGTCACATGGTTTTGTTACCAAAGCATATCAAAGTGTGTTCTGTATTGTTCTGACAAACGATGACAAAATCTACATTGGAATATTGTTGTAAGTGTTGAAGCTTCTAAAATAAAGACTACTATTATAAAAAAATAGTTATTTATAAAAATCCTACTATTTGAAGCATAGTCCCCTTTCGTTTGTATTTGTAATCACGTGATCTTGTTTACAGTGGTCCTTCTTTGAATCAAATGCAGTATAGCTTCTTCATAATTTACGTTAAAACTGTACTATAGATGATTTGACCAACCAATAGCGACTACGTAGTTACCGCGTCGTAGATTTTGCCGCGCAAACGTTGCGATCATCGTTCGTGAGATAATTAACCGAATATTGCTTGCCATTTGTGACTTTGTAAGTTAATTGTTATTTTCCATTGTTTCGATAATTTTTTCTTTGCAATTTCGATACATTGTATCTCGTAATGTTACACGTTTGACAGTTTTAGAATAAATGTTTACTAATACTATACAATTTGTTGATATGTTGATTTATCGTTCATAAATCTCTAAAACAGGGCTATGTTTGTAATAGCAGTAAGCAATAATCTTAATGATCATTTCAAGAAATGATTGTTTCCACTAATATACTTAATTTTTAAGAACGTTTGTTATTATAACGATTAATAAACAGAATTTAAGTTCAGTATACAGTTCCACGTAATTATTTGAATTATTTTTTATCAACATTTATTGTAAAATATGTTAGGAATTATTTTTCGTAAAGCAAATGTCGTTAATTAGTTTTCCAATATTGTGATGTTTATATTTTGTTTTCATATGAATCCATAGAAAATGCCTGAATCTGACCAAAGTGATAAAGAAACACAGGATGAAATTCCTACTTTGGAAGTTTCTAATGAATCCAGAGATTCCAATGAACATGTACAAAAAAGAATGCGGGAAGAATCATCAGAGGATGAAGCATCACGTTCATCTTCTAAAAAATTCTGTTCTATTGATAAAACCACATCTGAAGAACATGAAACAGAACATACACCAGAAGTTAATGGTACTCTTGAAGACAAAAAGGATTGTGCAACTATAAATGCTTCTGATAATAAAGAAGATACAAAATGTATATCTGGAGTAGAAGAAAGTGTAGGTAGCGATACGAAAGATTCATATGATTTAAACTTTGAAAATAAAAATGAAGAAGCATCTAATACTGATACAGAAAATAAAACAGTAGCAAAGACTGAGATTTCAATGGATGATCAAAAGGATAATATGTCCACAAAATCTGAAACAAATGTTGATACAAAAGATGCAGTAAAGAAGGAAGAAACGAAAGAAGGGGAAGATGATGTTAAAGGGAAAAAGAAACATGGTAAATCACAAGTCACAGATGCTGAAGTAGTAGAAGGTTTGGAACTTTCTGTAGAATGTGCTAGTGACAAAGAATCTTCAAGTACTTCTGAAAGTGAAGATGAGAAAGACAAAAAACCTAAGACAAAAACTATAATTGTTAAAGCTAAACCTAATGATTCTGAACTTGATGTTAGTTCTTCTGAAGTTGAGAAATCAGATTCACAGGATGCATCTGAAGTCAAGTCCAAAGAAAGTGTTAAAAAGGGGAAAAAAAGGGGCAGAACATCTTTTAGTAAAGCAAAAGGTACAGATTCAGAAGAAAATGACAATGTCTCAGATGAAGATTACAGCCCAAGAACTAAAAGGAAACTTAAGAAAACATTAATGAATAAAAAAGTTACAAAATCACCTTCAGAGTCAAAGAGGGGACGTGGTAGAGGAAGAAAAATAGCTGAAAAAATGGTTGCAAAGGAGGAGGAGGAGGATGAGGAAGAAGAAGAAGAGAAGGAGGAGAAAAAGAAGAAGGAAGATGAAAATTCCGATATAGTGGATGATAAGAAAGCAGAAGAAAGTCTATCTGATGCAGAGTCATCGAAAAGTCAGAATGAAAGTGAAAGCGGCAGTGAAAATGCTTCTAAAGATACAAAAGGAAGAAATAGCATGGTAAGTTTTCAGGACATTTCAATACCAATAATTGTATCTCTTATAAACATACAATTATGAACTAATTTGCTTATATTATTGTAGAAACATGATAATAATAAGAAAATACAAACTCTAAAAAAATACATTAGAGCTGCTGGAATACATGTAAAATCCTATAATGATATATGGGTTGGGTGTAAATCAAATAAAGCAAAAATAACATGCCTCCAAAACTTATTAGAGAAAAATGGAGTTAGTGGAAGACCAACTCTAGAAAAGTGTAAGAAAGCTAAACACAGAAATGAAAAGCTAAAGGATGTTGCTGAATTAAATACAAGCAATATTATATCAGAAGGTTTGTAATTACATACACTTCATCAAAAATTGCAGAAGTATGTTAATAATAATTAACACTTGCAATGTGTATTACTTTTAGGACGCGTCACACGTGCCCAGAGAAATAAGGATTCAAACAAGGAATCAGCAAGAACTCCTGTGAAACAACGTGAAGCACGTAATACATATAAAAGAGTTTTAAGGGTTGTTGATAGTGATTCAGAATGAAACGTGATAAACTTTGAAAGAAATGTTCGAATAATGTTTATATATTACAGTTACATTAATTGTTTACTTATCTGAATGTGGTAAGTATATATTTCATCATTCTATGTAAAAAATTACATGTTATATATGTTCAACATTTTCATGCATAAAAAAAACTGGAACTAGCTAAGTTAAAGGTGGAAATAAGGTATTATATTAAAAGATATCTCGTGTAGCTATATTTTGAAATATGTATAACATAAGTCAAATTTACTTAAATTTATTTTTCAACTTACGAATAACTTACCGTGTAATGAAAGTGTTCAATGGTAAAAATCAGTTTATGTATTTTTAATATATTTACGTATTAATTCGAAGTATAATCAAAGTAACGGTTTTTTGATCTGTGTTGTTTTTGGCTTATGCAAAATTTGTTTGTAATAAGTATATTATTTACAGGTCGTTAATTGCGAATTGTTTATGTTTTGAAATATGATATTTTCTATTTTCAAAATTGTTTTAATTTTGTGTGATCGGAATGTTGGACCATTTATTTCTAATTCTAAAGTAAGGTTAAAAATAATTATTACATATAATTTGCTGAACCAACGGAGGAAGATGACTATAATTAACTTCTATAAATTTTGAAAGTATTTTATATAATATGACTGTATTACGTTTTCTGAGAGCAATTTAAATTACATATATTGTAGCAAGTTTTTACATAAATACTATAAATATTTAGTAATAGAACATTCTAATATGATTATATTTAATGAAATAAAATTTGTACACCTTATTATTTTTTAATCAATATATTTATAAATGATGACAATGTTCTAAACGTGAAGATTAATATTGATATTTGTTAAGGAGATGCTTAAACATTAGGTAGAAAATATATTTCTTTACACAAAATTGTGTAAAGTCTTTGTTTTTTTATCGACATGAATTTCCCACTACTGTGAACCTACATAATACACTGTTTCATAACAAAATATAGAAGTGAAAAAAAAATGGAATAAATATAAAGATATGACGATACAATTACATCATAACCTAATATTAAATTTGCATATGTTGGAATTTTGAAATGCATTCTTTACTGCAGAATATCTTTTTCTCCTTAACTGCTATTCTGCCGTTTAATAAATTTCTCTTACAAATAAAACAACAAAAACAAGATTCTGTTGCGTGAAAATGTAAATCTTTTACTGGAACACCTTGTTGATCGGCAGCGATTACTTTTTCGCACGCGTTACACGTTTTTGCATACGATTTTTGATAACAAGGAAGACATAAGGGGCGATCATTCTCTGTAATATATTTTTTTCCAGCTAGAGGAATGTCGCAATCCCAACAACAAAAGTGTTTTATGTGATAGTTATGCCCTTCTGCGACAGTATACTCTCTAACAAAAATAAGCTGAAAAAAAACGAATAAAATTTGTATTATAAAACATGAAATGTTTAACACTGTTACACAAGAAATGATTACCTCGTCACAAGCAAAACATCTAGGAATTCCTAGGAATGTTGATAAATCTCGGCCACAATATAATTTGTTTTTATAATAAAAGTATACTAAATCTGCTAATAATTCGTTGCATATACTGCAAACAAAGCAACCAGGATGCCACATTGCATGTTTAGCTTTTTCTGTAATTACGGCAACATCACCAACGCGTATTACTTCTTCGCATTTATGGCACTTTTGTGGTTTAATAGCATCCATTGTTAGTTCTTCCATGCCACCGTTTAATTGTTCTATATGCGGTAAATTTTGTACATGGCTCGCTCCACCAACAATTTCGTAAGGGAATATTTGATTTTGCAATTTTTCAGAATAAATAATAGTGGAAGGTGCCGTAAGATTACTTAGTTTTTCTTGATGATTACCAGCATTAGAAACTTCTAGACTCGTTTGTGGTAATAAACATGATCTTCCGTTTAATTTTGAAGGGATTAGCGATGTATTCTGTTGTACTTTGTCTTTCTCATTTGTAGTAACAATTAACGTGGAATCAAGAGGAATTGATTGAACTACTTGTGAATTAGGCTTTATTACTTCTTTCTCTGCCTTTATTAACTTAGGTTCGACAGTATTCCTTTCTATTTTTTTAATTCTATCTTCTGATAGAGTCGATATTCCAGAAGGATTCTTCATAGTAGCAGTAATAGTTGTTTTGTCAGTTCCTTTATCAATGCTTACATTTTGCAATCCACTGTTATTATTTTTTAACAATAAATCAACAGAATCTAAATTTTTGGCAAAACTGGGAACATTATGTGATAACTGATTTTCTTGGTTGCTATATTTATTTGTAAGTTTTTCTCGTATAAACATTAGACCCTTCGAATCCAATGTACTACCAATTATGTCATTTGCGTGTACTGTGCTAGGAGGAAGAAATGCATCTGCTAATATACTTTCCGCGATAGAGGTATCATTGTTAACTGGTTTTGAGTGTAGAAGAGGAGAGGATGGATTTTTTAATGCATCTCTATATGCTTCTTTGCAATATTCCGAAGGATTTGGAAACAGTGTAACTTCCGAATCAACATTTGCAATTGATAAGGAATTCGAAAACTTTAAATGCTCAGTACTTGGAATGTCTTTGTTTATAAAATCTTGACGATTGTCATCGGCTCTTGAATAATTAATCGAATTAATACCCTTATTATAAAGCCCAGTCTTAACTGGTTCCGATTTTACAATCGTACTATTGTTACTGTTTATGTTATACTTTTCGAGAACTGCTATTTTGTCAGTATTATTAATATCAGTTAATGCTTCTAAATTAGCAGATGTATCGTGTTTGTTCAACATCTCGTGAAAGTCTTTTTTATATGAATTTTTTAGAGTAAAACTACTTGGTGTACGTAATTGAACCATACTCGATTGTACAGTAGCTTTATGTTGTGGACTGAAGCGTTGCATGTCTGTTGCATTAGCGGGTGTCATTAATGATCGTTCAAATGGGCGAGCACCAAGTATCTGTATATGTAAAAAATATTACTCGTAAGTTAATTCAATGATGGAATCGAGTTTTTATTACAATAATTTACCTTTGTCACTGTTCCTTGACCTACATATTTTTTTATACTATCTAAATATTTCTCAAACTCTTTCTTTTCCTGTTCGCTCAATTTATCACAAACTTTGTGATCTATATCATGAAGTGGCAACTGCTTTTGTAATAACTGTCTTCTCAGAGCTGCACCAGTCGATCCTTTAATGGGCAATTTTTCAATGGGAAAGGCTTTCATATAATCTATAGCAAGTTCTTTTGTTGTATCTGGTGGTATCCACTCAAATGCTTCTTCTGCATATTCTTTTTCATTGTGTATGTGTAACACTAAAACAGTTAAAAATAAACAATTATTATGATAATGTAATATATACATTTTATTTTAATTCTGATGATATTTACATGTGGGCTTTTTCTTATATTTTCTGGAGGATCCAAATAATAAATCAAATTGTGGAAAATCTTCATCGTTAACATCATGATCATCCTTACTGCATTTACAATTTTTACAAGTCTTTCTCCAAAAGTGCAGGTCTAAGCCTGGGCATGTTGCTTTACAAATAACACAAGGTGCTCCTGCTCCAGCTTCATGTGCCAATCGAGGCTAAACAAAATAACTAAAAAATAATCCTAATCTCTTCAAAATAGTATTCATAATATTAATGTATATAATATAGTAATAATTTTAAATATTATAAGTGTTTATACAATTTGTTTCATTTATGATAGCATAAATATATATTGTACAAATGATCTGATTCACTGAAGTATGATAAGATAATTTGTATTGCAATAGATTCCATCATGCTGTACAAGTTAGATGTTCAGTACAAATATTATGGTATTAAATACATAGAATTTCTTTATATTCTCATACTTCGAATAAATAATAACAAAGTAAACAAAATATATTTGTTATTAATAAGATTTTTAAATCTTACAAAGCTTACCTTTCTCTTTCTATTTTCTAGTTCTAACAACCATTTCGGGCGATCGTTTGTCTCTGTGTCGTTCATTTCTAGATAGTTTCTTTTGGTTCTGATATTATTATATTGTTTCTTTTTGTACAAAAGTACAAACTCGTTTAGCTGCTTGACACTTCTCAAACGCGTGACTCACCGCTATGGCTCACAGAATCTGTCCTTATACTTTCCCCTTCTACCGCACTCGACTTAAGTGGGGACCACTCACAGATGAAACTCTTCAAAAGGACCCACACGTATGCATATACTATCCATATTATACAGTACGTATACTAATGATGCTTGGTTTTCAAGAAGAAAGTATTATGATAAAGAGTTTTTTAACGCGTAAAACTTTGAAGTATAAATTACACCATTAAATTAAATATATAGTCCGATTTTAACGATTTATTTTTATTCACTCCGTATTTGTATACCAGATAAGGATATAGATACGAGGATAAGATTCTTATCTGTATAATAGATAAGGGCGCAAATACGATGAATGGGATTGTTCAAAGGAAGTCGTGATGTCTATAGGATCTCACATTATAATATCTTTATGCGATTGTTTACCTTATCACTATACTCGATGATAATATTTTGTATATACAAATGTACAAAAACATATTAAGTAATAGCATATATTTCATATGCCGTATTTCGATTACTTCTCGAAAGCTTCGTCAAATTCTTCTTGAGAAATCTAAAACAATTATTGCGGATTAAAAATGAATGGAAATGATTGTTCACTTCCAAAATTTTATTCTTTAAATGTACCTTTTTCTTCTTCAATTTTTTAATTAACGCTATATCCTTTGCTAGTTCTTCGATATCTTGTTCGTTTATTTTCCTTTTTTGTTTTTTTATCGGGTTCGTTGACATTTTCTGTTTCATTTTCTTCTCCTTTCGTTGCTTACGATTCTCTTGTCTGTCCAGTTTCTTCTTTTTTGCTTCAGACCAAGGTTCGGTTTCTTTGTGTTTGCGTTTGTGTCTTGTAGGCCACACTCCGCTATCTTGGAAGATCTTCAGTTTTTCTAAACGATTTTGTTCCTTTTGTTTATTTGAATAGGGAATTGAATTAGTATCGATGTCTTCTTGTTCGAAAGACGACGTATCTCTTCCTTTAAGTTCGGGCATTCGAGGCATTCGTAGGAGACCAAAGCTCATTGCAAGTTTTCCTAAATCGATATCTTTCAATCTTAGTATTAAATTACATTCGTGTTTATTGTACGCTTGCACGTAAGATACGAACGCTCTGTTTGCTTTATCAAGAATAAGTCGATCCTGTTTTTGTAATTTTCTCATACATTTTATACATTTTTCGTACGAAATCATAGATGGTTCCAAGATCATATTTTGTAAATCTACCTTTTGATTTCTTTTAATAAAATTTATATATGCATCTTCTGTTTCTAAAAGGAATAATAGTGCATTTCCTTCATTGCCAATTCTAGCAGTCCTGCCACATCTAGAAGAATAAATTATTCTATACATTATATTTAACCCGAAAAACGAGATTGCATATTATAATATTAATATTTCACCTGTGCACAAAACTACTAGCTGAACAAGGGGGATCGTACTGTAATACCCAATCTACTTCCGAAATATCAACACCACGAGCCATTACATCCGTGCAAATCAAAATACCGCTTTTGATATTTCGAAAATCATTAAATACTTTGTACCTCTTGCCCTTCATTTTGCCGTGTATTGCAAGGATTTGAACTGAAGGCAGCATTCTAAAAATGAAGTACATTGTAAGACACATTTACATAAACGTAACGTAAATACTTCGCAATAATACTCACGCTTGTATAACGTGACTGAAATAATCAACACATGCACAGGTAGATAAAAAGATCATATATTTCGAATTAGTTCCTTCTCGTCTAATAAAGTCTATCATTACAGATAATTTGTATTCTGGATCCACAATAGTGTAATGGTTTTTCAAGTTTGATGGTGTAGAAATATTTGCTTTCTCTTTAACAGATACCAAGGCTGGATTTCTTAATCCTGCTCTGATAAGCTGCTGCAATTCTTTTGTCTGTGTTGCAGAGAATAACCCTGTTCTTCTAAGACGTGGTAAATAATTTAATATTGTGTCCAATGTTGCAGAAAAACCTAAATCTAATAATCTGTCAGCTTCATCTAAGATTAATATTTCCTAAAAGTTTAATGATCAGAACTTAACTGAAGAAACACACCTGTGTCATAATTATTATGAGCTTGATATTTTAGAATGAATTACCAATGATTTCACACGTGCTGCTAAATTTATACTCTTACAGTTGCACAATATATCTTCTAATCTACCAGGTGTTGCCACAATGATGTTCACAGCTGCTTTAAGCTTTTCTGCATCTTCTGCAATTGTTCCACCTCCAACAAGTAATATTTGTTTTAAATGTGGGATATTGTTTAAAAACTTTTGTAGAACTTCATTTATTTGTACAGCTAGCTCTCTTGTAGGACTGATTATTATTGCTCCAATTTCTGTAGGCTTCCATTTTTCTTTTCGTTTCTGTTTTATATGCAAAAAGTTTATTTAGTGCCTATTCTTTCTTTATATAAATTCTTGATATGTTTTTTATTTAAATACCTGTAAAATTTCTAGTAAAGGAACTATGAAAGCAAGAGTCTTTCCACTACCTGTTACTGCTTCTGCAGCAACATCTTTACCTTTCAATAATAGTGGAATACAAGCCGCCTATACATAAATAAAAAATATCTATATTAATTGGTTATTAATTACTGTCTATCATTAATTAATTGTTGTTTTAATACTAATACGAGTGCAGAGAGAAATTTTAGTTGAAAAAACGTAAATAAAACCTCTAAATAAATTAATGATGTTTATTGTAAATTTTACCTGTACTGGTGTCATATTAAGGAAGTTTAATTCCTCGATAGTTTTCAATACAGGTTCGCTTAAAGGCACTTCTAATTCTTTCCAATTTTGTGTCTTCATTGTGATTTCAAAATTTTTACACGTTATTTGAATTGAGATATTAAAAATCACGTGTTTGTAACATAGCGACTGATTTGTTTAGGTTATGTTCAAGAATACATCGTATTATATATATAGTAAATATGTCAATCTTATTTATTTTTGATTTACTGAATATTTGATTTTCATTGGGAAAATATCGAATTAGTTTTACATAAACAATGTTAAATTTGTAAAAGCAGTATATGTAGCTAAACATGTACTAGATACGTGTTTCTTGTATGATTGTCGTTTAAAATGGGTTGGAAATAGCATGAAGAATAAATTATCATATACAAGTTGGCTTTTAACGCATTGACTTTATTTTGATGTTTTTTTTAAATCTCTTCGATATAAAATTTGTGTCTAACGATGCCACACACTCAACTATCTCTCAGGTAAGGATCATCCTTGCCTCCTTTTCTCTTATATACACGACTAGGTCTAAGGCCGTAATTCAACTTGTCTTTTTCAATGTCACAGCATCTGACAGTATTCGTTTACACGTTAAGAGGTACATAATTAATTCAAGTGTTTCAAGAACAATTTTGAGTATTCAACGCAATGCATTCTTCTCAATCTATTCAGCAATAAAATATTCATATGTTACAATTGTTACAAATTTCTTTAATTTTTTTTTCTAATTTGTAACATGAACTATTTATAAGGAAAAAAATTTGTTTATAAAAGTCTTACATAGATCATACACTGTCTATGTGTGTAAATCATGCATGGCTTTTAAATATTCTACTACTGAGTTGCCAACTCAATTGACCAAATGAAGTATGGCTAAAGCTGTTTTCTTTTATAATATTATTTTTAGCGTAACATCTTTGTTCTTTTATCTATTTAAACGATGACCTAAAATCTGTATACGTTACTATGGATATATTAGCGTGTAACATCGGAATCATATGCCCTGAGTCACTGAACAAAAAGTAATATAATTTTTAGTACAGGACATTTGTACCCCTTTACATACACACAGATGCTTTCTTGTCACGACATCACCTGGTTGTTTTTAACGACATTGTATGTCGGATCCTTGTTTTTTTTAATACGACATTTTTCCTAATTCGACTTAGTCTCTGCTTCGAGGATCTTATGTATCAGCATCTCATAACAAAACCCATCGTCAACAAACTGCAAAATTTGGAACTGTGTCTGAATCCTTTCGTCACCGTCTTTCGACTTCGCACAATCGTATGTAATTTGATCAAATTTAGAAGAGTTACATCGATCTATTTCTATGCTTTCTGTTCATTGCAGTGAAACATCATGTATGAAAGCGCGAGCAGAATCGTTCCAATAATTACTTCGTGTAAAAAAAAAGAGTTTTTACTCGCGTAACATACTCGCAATTTTTCTGCTTTTTTCAGTACTTGGATCTTCAAAGGTACACGCATCATCAGCCTATCAGATAGCTCCCTGCATCAAATCTGCAGGTTGGATTTTGGCTTAATAAATGTTTACAAAGTAGTGCGAACTACTATAATCGAGATTGAAACGTTTTTAAATTTCGTAATAGCCACAGTCCCTCCTTATTTTTTTTCTTTTTCGCTTTCTAAGATATTGTATAGGCACGACCTATCAATATACGATTTCAAAGTATATTTTTGGTTGCCGATTTACTTTTTACATTCCGTCTTTTACTATAAATGAATCTTTAAAATTATGTTTTTTTTCCAGGTATAATATTTAAATTAATAAATTGCATGGTTGTAAACTGCATATTGAAATCTGCTGCGCGTGATAAAAAATTGAAACATAATATTTGAGGGACTATACGTTTATCGAGGATCGTTCGCAATTAGCTGATCCACTCAAAGAAGTCACTTTCAAGATGATCAGCACTTTGCTTCACATTAATGCAACTTTATCTATTTATAAAACACCTTCCACCTATAAAGATTGCTGTTTATTACTTGAATTAGTTTAAAAGATGCATTACTTTTTTTATGGAATGATATTACTATTATCAAGAAAAAAACAAACAATGTTTAGACAATAAGGCAAAACAAGATGGAACTTACACAGCTGCTTATCGGTGTATCAATATAAGATTACAAGCAATAAGTGAAAGCCTCTTCAAGTGCCTAATGCCATCGTGAAAGTAACTTGAATTTGTAAATCTTATTCTATCTCTGCAGAATACTAGTAGTTCCTTCTCTCTTCATCCATTTTTGATCGCAGCTACTGATTGTGCGGCAAAATCACTGGTATAGTTTGCTGCGCTCCAGGGGGTGGTTGCGGCGGTAGGTATTGCATGTGCTGCGGTGGTATCGGTATATGAGGAGGAATTATAGGACACATTATTGGATAACTTGGTGCATGGCCTTGAGGAGGTGGTGGAGGATATGTGGGTTGTGGAGTACCAGGAGGATTGTAAGTGCCTGGTGTGTGTGGTGGATTGGGATTAGCTGGAGAGGGTGTCTGACTTGGTGGTTGTTGGGCAACATGTGGGTGAGGATGCGTATGTGGACCCATATACTGAATGCCAGGAGCCTGTGGTCCTGGCGAGTCATGATGATGATAGGGTGTAGCCATATGTGGCGGTGGGGGTGGTGCCTGAACCATGCGTACCATCTGTTGATATGTCGGTTGGCCAGGATAAGGCACCTGGAATGGTGGATGGAGCGGGGCCGGTGCCATTAAAGGCTGCCCAGTTGCCGCTACCACTTGCATTTGAGACGCTATATCTTGCGCGCGATGTTGGGCATGCATCACCGGCACTGAAATAATCAGAATAAGGTATTATTTATATTAATAATAAACTGACAAGTTTGGCCATATAAGCAATCGATCAAATATTACTTTATTTTTTCATAAATTCATCAGTTATGTGTCAATGAATAAACGATTACTTTTGTAACCAAAATTGTCAGTTTATATAAAAAATTTAGCAAGCATTAAAATATTTTAATTTTTATATTACTAATATTGCGAGAAAGAGAATCTTTGCGTTTTTTAATACGGCACGAGGAACCTTTATTAACACAGAAAATTGTATTAGAATATTGGAAACAAGATGCGGATACCTAGATACTGACCCTTCCGGAACCTTGTCACAGGTTGAGCTGGCGGTTGACTGAATGCAGTTGGTGGTTGGCTAGTCATGACATACGCTGGCATGACTACAGTTGCAGGCATTGTTGCGCCAGTGTACTGTGGTGTTTGTGGTGTGTGCGGTCTACTAGGTGTTGGTGTACTTGGCGATCGCTAAAAATAAGGTTATATTATAATCCAATTATGATTTAAATTAAGCACAACGAATTACAATTTTAAAATAATTAACTTACCGGTGTGAAAGGCTTGGTATTTGGATTAAATTCTTTAGCATTTGGATTTAGTGTTGACTTTTTGAAAGCCGTCGTAATTTTGTCAACAGCAGATTCTTGTGGTGGTTGTGGTACAGTGACTGTGTTGGTTGTAGTTTGTTGCTGCTGTGGTTGTGGTTGAGGTGGACTCGTGGCCCTTGCAGGTAATGGTCCCGGCGGTGGTTTACTGGTAACCACAGTTTCTTCTTGAACTGTTTGATTCTGATGTTGTTGCGACTGCTGTGTATTTGGATGATGTTGCTGTTGAGGTGGCTGCTGTTGCGTTTGTTGCGGCGTTGTGTGTTGATGGGGTGATTGGTGATGTGTTTGAGTAATTTGTGTCGATGAATGAGAATCTTGTTGATGTTGGTGCTGCTGTTTTCTTGTTACTGGCGGTGCGTCTTGTGCTTGTGTGTCTGTTAATTTGAAATCTGTGGCAAACTGTCTGAGTTCTGAATGCTGTTCTTCCCTACTGCGTGGTGTTGGAACCTTGAACAATATATAAATATCTCGTAATTATTTCGTAAAAATGAATGTTTCAAAACATCATTTATAAATAATATTTAATTACCTTTCTATGATCCGATTTGTGCGGTACTATCTCACACCGTTGTCCCTCTACCGAAGCTTGCTGTTGTACCTGACTATGTTGTTGATGTGATGATTGCTGCTGTTGGTGGGATGTAGTGACGTTCGTCTGAGGGAATGGTGCTGGTGGAGCTTTATCAGCTTGATACACTTGCTGCCTGCCAGGACGTTCCCGTTTCTCGGTGTTTATTTTAGTCGACGGAGTTTGCTGTTGTTGCGGTGGAAAGTTCACTTGCGGTATTGAAGGAGTAGCTTGAGATTGCGGTTGTGTTTGTTGCATCACAGGTACTATAAATATCATACAAGTAACCAGTAAACATTTTAAATCAAATTAGTATTATTATAAATGTTAATTCTTAATACCTGGTGGTGGTGGTTGCGTTGCTGGTGGAGGTACAAACGGCGGTGGAGGATTATTATATGTAACTACCACTCCACTAGGTGGCATTCCCATATTTAAAGATACTGGATGTTGTACAGAAGGATGAGCGCTTTGCATTCCTATAGGGAGGTTAGACGATGGGGGAACGTTGATGTTTACATTGGACGGAGGTTGTTGATTGAAAACGTTTTTATTGGTAGCTGTAGGTCCTGGCGAAGGTGGGGGTTCATTAGATCTCATTAATTTCCCACTGTTTCCATTCTTCTTCTTCAGCGGGGGTGGAATATATTTTCCCTCGTTCGGCCTCACCTAAAATTATGTTAATAATTAAGAAAAGACAGCTAATTCCACGCGTTATTACACAATTATGACAATAGCAATAAACTGCACCACAGCTGCGAATCTCTCCTCTTCGTCGCCATTTTCCAGTTCTAATCTCGCCTTGTGATTTGGTTGTGATTCTATTTCGTTTGCTATTTCTGCAGCTTTTTGTTCTTGTTCCTTGTAATCCTTCGTATCCTTCCTTTGAAGCGGCAAAGTGTAAGCCGCCAGAGTTGGTTCGTATGTCGTTTGGACTCCGTACTTTTGTTCATTTTTACGAAACATATCATTAGCATCCCACCCATTCTGTAAACAGTTTACATTCAAGCTTGAACCCATTATTCATATGTTTATAGACATACATCGTCTTAAAGAAATACTTACAGTAGTACCATCTAATTCTAAATCATCCCCATTCATAGTAGCAGGAGGAGCATCCCAAGGCTCCAACTCTTTCTCACCGATTACACCATTGTATTTACTAATAGCAGTGTCTGTTTGGAAAGTGTCTCGTATAGCATAATCTAAATCAACATCCTTTGCAGACATTGTAATGATATCTTGTGGCTTAAAAATCAATTTTTCTACTATACTATCCACGCTTATCTTTCCTGAACCTTCTACGCGATGTGCCATTTCTAAGACAACATCGAATTGGCTGGAGAACGTGCGAAAAATACCTTCGTATACCGAACCATTCAATGTCTGAATCTATTATAAAAATAAGAAGAGTGTAATATGTATTAAAAGTAGAGGAATAGTAAAAAAGTAAAGATCATTTATTTTATTTTTTATTTTAACCTTATTAAATAATAGCATGATCTTTAATGAAACAAATTCCAGTACCTGTACAATGTTACCAACATGACTGGTTATCGCATGCATGAAATGAGCATTTTTATATACACCTTCGGCAGCAACACATCTTTCTTGCGGACCACGAGCACGAGGAGATCTAAAAATTAGGTAATACTTGTAATTTTATTAAAAATTAAGTTATACAAATTCTGTTGTAGATGAAATCAAGAGAAAACAGTACAAAAACAGAGAGAGAAGTGATATGAACTCCTTGACTAGAAATGGCTCACACATGTGTGTCCTAAGGAATTGTTTCTGGAGATAGAGTCTCATGTATCTTTTGAAAAAGCTGTTTCTTTGGTGAAATTGTGGCATTAAAATTGATACAATGTATGAATAGAACATTTATGAAACGAGAAAGTTTGAAATTTCTAAGACTTGTCTTGGGGTAAAAAATCGAAGTAGTGGATTAAAGAATTTGTTCTAAAATGGAACAAAGAGGTACCTGTTGGTATTCGAACGATTCTTTCTTTTGCTATTCATTTTGCCACCCGACGAGGACTCTTCGCCAGTGGTTGGTGGATTTCTGCCGCCGGTTTGTTGCGGGCCTTCTCGTTTCTTAGTGGGGACCGGAATTTTGACTAATTTCCCGGTGACTGCTCAACGTCAAGAATATATTTTCGATCGAACGTCCCGATACGGGAGGATATTGTGAATCGTTGTTTCGCGGGCTCCTCGTTAGATACGGGAGAATTCGATTCGAAATCTTGCTCGACCCCGAAACGATTGACAGGAGGCCGTATTGGCCGTAACAACTATCAACATTCACGATCGCGTTTCAGTCACGATCGTTTGTAGGTTATGCGCCAATGGTACTGTTACCTAAACACTCTTTCGCGAAAGTCTAGCGCGTGCGTGACTTTCGAGTTTAGACAGATAGAGGAGTGCGAGTAAAGAAAGCAGGAACACTTGGTATTCGAGGAGACGTACGGGGGAACACGGTGTCTGCCCGCCACGACACACACGATATCTTGCTGGTGCGTGACGTAACTCCGTTCTCTTTACGCAGGAAATCACGCTTGTGGAATTTCGCGTCGGAGGAGTTTAGAAAGGAACGATGGTAGCCCCCGGACAATGATTTTGGCCACGATATTGTATTTCTACTTAATTAATCAACATGTGGTAAACGATAAAACTTAGCACAAGTCGCCCGATCAGCCTGATCCCGGTGACTGTCGGTTACAGTCGCCACCTAGCGAGAAATGAATGGACCACGCGATAAAGATCATCCGCAATTCCCTGCCAAAGAACTTGTTTTCATTGAGCGTCATCCCTCCTTACACTTTCTTTCCTAATGGAAATCCATCTTAACTTTGTTCATTCTTTGTACTAACCCCTTTTATTAACCAATTACTATTACTCAACTAATTCTTCTCATTTAATCAACACTCTATGGATTGTTCTTCAAAATTTAATCACTAGAAAATTAATCGTAATATACGTTAGTTGATTAGTAAAATTCATCGACGATTTACGGTTGAATCATTTGAACATATTTTCGAGCGTTAGATAAATCAAGCGCATCGTTCGGTATATATTTATCCAGATAACGAATGGCGAATACGAATGTAACGATTAGCGATTCATCTAGATAATAACGTTTTCAAATAACGTTGAGGGATGAATAAAAACTAAAACTTCATCTTCATTGTTTTTTGGGGACTTTCGAAATATAGAAATATATTCTTAAGTAGTTGAATTTTGTGAACTTTCGATGTTTTCGATTTGATCGTTATGATTGACGATTAACTTAAATATCGATAGTCATGCACGGTTACCGATTAACATAGTCGTAAATCAATTTAATGGCTCACTACTCACTGCTCCATAAAGCCGTCTAGATTTAGGTAAGTTCACATAAATCCAAAGATAATGAGAATGTATTACAACAAAATATAAAATAAACGTACTCCTACATTAGTACTTTATTTGTAACTAAAATTCTTGGTTTCATGGCAAGCAATTGTAGAAAGTCCATCATTTAAGAGACCGTTTGCGTCGATTAGAATTTCTGTGCGCATCTCCTTCGTCCTCGTTATAAATCGTGTGCAATTTTCGAACAAGATTCTTCGTCCTATCTGTGATAAAATTATCCACTTGACCTAGGATATTGACGCACTGAATCATCCACTCGAATCTCTTGTCTATTTTTTTCAATTTCTCAATATGAGCAGACGATCCATCCGAGACAGCATTTGAAAGTTTTTCCAGTATGTCTTTCCGTTTCTTCGCGTACTCTTCTTCAGCGTACGTCATCGTCATCTGACGAAAATTCAATAATGATATGATTTCAGGTTGTAAACAGAGGCTGAGAAGGAAAGAAAGAAAATCATTTGACTCACCACAGATGTCGCGATAAACAGCAACAATAAAATCTTCATTTTTCTCGAGAAGCAGCTTTCACATTCAGGTATTTTTTGAAATAAAACTACAATTTAGGTAACGATCGTCGAATTTTATACATCGTATGTTTCACGACACTATCGCGAACGGAGGGACAGATCGCTACATTACCGGTTTTCGATCATTTGAGAGGTTCGCTTACGTCCGCCGACAAATATATTTCTTTCGTTTGAAATGCTTTAATGTGTTTCAGAGAAACGGTATTCGCTGACGATGATCAATTCATGACACGGTTAACTGTAGAACATTAAACATTCTTAAAGATTGAGCAATTCGTTTAGCAAAGGTAAACATTTAAATTGCTATTTCATAACGAATAATGGAATTTTTGCGAAGGGAAGCTAAATGATACCGTTCTCCTAACTTTGACCCTATTGCGCTCGTATCGTGTCGAAACACCATGCATACATACAGTCAGCCCCATAAATATTCGTGTCCTCTATGTTTATTAACTCTCTTCTCCTACGGTCGGATCAAAAGCGATCGACATTTAGTTCCATCATTAGGTTCCATCAAAAGTTACAAATAAATATTAATTTGGTTTTAATGAATAATACCACTATTCGTACGTGATAAATGCGTTTTTAGGTGAAAAATGGTCTAGAAATATAGCAAGGTCGGATCTCCGATCCAACCGTAGTAAATGTGTGATCAGAAACCACCGTCGAAGAGAAGGGTTCAAGAAATTTGACTCAGATGAGAGGTTTCATGTTTTCAAATAATAGGCCCGACTGCATACACCAGCGTCCTTTTTTTTTTATTGGCATACTATATTCGACAGTAAATGAAAACAACAGTCACGTTGAGTCGATCGCGTAGGACGTATCTCGAATACAAACATACCAAACGTTGGTATTGGTTCGCATTACAGGCCTCGCAACGCATATTCAAGGGTCTTTAGAGTTACTGTAAGACGTCGTACGTTCGGTGGATGAAACAATTGAGCAGAGAAACGATAAATTCGGATCAATTATGTTTAATATTCATTTAACTGATAAATATAATACAGAATCCGATAACAAAATCGTGAAACGTCTTCATAGAATTCGGAAAAGAATACTTGTTCAGAACGCGATCGGTGATCCTCCGAGTACGAGGAATTCACGGACGAATTCGTTTAGTTGTGCTGAGCCGCGACTTGCTGAAGATTGTTGTTCAGGTTCTGCGTTGCCTGGACTGCGAGATCGACCGCCTGTTTGGTGAACTTGGCAAGGTCCTCCTGCATCTTTTCAGAGTGTTGGCTCAAAGATTTCGCGGCCTTGTCCGATTCCTTGAGCATCACTTGAACTCCTTGCTGAAACTTGGCCTGTAAATCGGCAACCTGTTGCTGAGCGTTCGGGATTCCGCTGCTGATATCATCCACGGCCTTGCTCAGCTTGGTCTTGAAGTCGTTCCACATATTTTCCAACTCGGGGCTCCTCTCTTTCACCTGAAGCACGGAAATGTCTCGTTAACGGAGAAGGAGAAGGCTAGTTAAATCTTGTAAGTCTTAAATTTACACGAAGGAGATAATTAAGAGATTAGGAGCGAATGGTTTGAGATTGAAAGCGAAAAGAGCTTTATTTACGACCTATTGAAAACAAAGATGGGTACGTTGAGTAGCGTTGAAATAAAATTTGGAGACTACTTGCCTCTGCAGTGACGTTCGTCATATACTGTTGGATATTGGTTACGAATTGGCTGCTTTGCTCCTTCACGGTTTTAACGATGGTCTCTTGATCGGGTAGGTTCAACTGTTCCTGAATTTGTTTGCCCAGATTGTTGATGCTCGTTTGAGCTTGGCTGATCAAATCGCTTAATTGAAGCTCTGGAGATGCTGGAGTATTAGCGCTGGTGGCTGGTGCAACTTTGGCCTCGCACACAAGCGCTAAGGCTGCGACGAATGCGACGATACTCTTCATTTTTCTTGAATTCTTCGCGGAACAACTAGAAAGTGACTGGTGTGCCAGCTGCGCGAGCTTCTACTCTTATAGGCGATTCTTATCGAGGGTGCACGAGGGCACACAGTGCCGGCTATCTTTCCACGACGATGATTGCATCCCTCTTAAAATGACACGACAAAGAGAATTTTCCACAGTTGTCTTTCCTCAGTGACAATCCGCGTTCACCAGGTGATGAGGAATTCTATATACTCGGATACGTTTGAGCTGGAGAGTTGGTAAAAAGTTGATAAAACGCGTACCTTTCAGGCTAAATTGGTCGTACGTGTCCAACGTTTAATGATTACACCAAGTTCGGCTTTAAATTATCTGTGACTTATGAATTCTACCCTGGAACAGTGTTTTTTTGTTCAAACTTGACCCTACAGGCCTGAGAATATAAAATTAAAAGCGTTGAATTTCGTTGGTTTCCTATGTCTTAGTTTGAACTTGTTCCATGTTATTTACTTAGATAATATATATGACACTTTTTGCAATTTATTAAATACTGGTCTAGTATCGTATCTCATTAATTCGTTCGTTGCAGATAATTTCGACAACTAAGCATACATCGTCGATTTCAGATCGATACTCGAAAGTCAGAGGTCGAGGTAAGATCAAAATTATCGTTAATTCTAATTTACTTCTGTCCTGTTATACTAAAGACAGAATCTTAGATCATCCTAATGTTTTTACATTGAAACCCTTGTAAACATTAACGAAAAATTTTATTCGTAGAAATTGGAGCTGAATATACGAGAGGACATTTCAGCGAATCAGCAACTTCGATCACGTTTTTTGTGTTTAAAAATACTCGGTAAAAATATGTGTATGTGTAGATTCTCATAGAAAGCCACGTCAAGGGGGCAAGGTCCTACGGATAAAACTATATCGATCCGCTTGTTGATTCTAGTATCGTTGCACATGCACGTGCGATCTTCAAAGTCCATATGGGACAGTTCTGTATTTTTTTAGATACATATATGTATACATAATTATAGTCGCGAACGTGTGCTGTTAGTCAATAGAAATCTCAATCCATGACCATTTCAATTTTACAACTTCGACTCCGTGTCGGTACACTTTCACCCGATAAGAGCCGAGATAGTAGGGAATCTCTTATCTTGCTGTGGTCAGATTTTGTACAAGCTCTTGTCGCTATTACTCTACCGAACACGATTATTTTTGGGAGGCTATTTTCAGCAACTAAATGCTAATAATAAGAAATCGAAATTGTTACTTACAAAAGATGAAACGATTTCGCATGATAGAACGTAGGTCTAGGATTAGGCAGATAAGATTCATTCGAGAATTAAGTTGGTGTGCTATATATATACCATTGTGAAATAACGAGTTGGACGAATAAACAAATTTCGTGACGTATCTTTGCACTTTATTTACAGAATCTTTCAATACTACGAATACATTACGCAACGTTGTTCGCCGAATAATCGCCCGATGAGCAATGTCAGCTCCGATATATTGAATGTCGTATTTTTTACGTCAACATCCGTGTCAAAGTTGACACTATTTTTCAAGGAACGTGTAAGTACTCGTACATGTAGAGAAACGACAAGAATTACGCAACGTTCTTCACGGCGTTTGAAAAATCATAACAAGCGTACTAAGTCTAAAACCATTCGTGGAATCGTTTGAAAGCTTTGCTAAACTACTCGTGCATTATTCCTGCATGTACTTGAAGCACACCGTCACCGCTAATTGATATTGTAATATATTCAGAGTATAGTTACGCCTATGCTTAGGACTCCTGGATAAAGATAATCGTAAGAAGCGTGGCTTTTATTTCGCGTTACATGTACGTGGAAAATCGAGCAGTTAGTCCTGAACCCTCTCGCTGATTTTCTCGGCCTCTCTACGGATGCTTTCGCCAGCTTGGTTTATGAATGATTTCACTTTGTCCATGGCTTCGTTCAAGTTGGTTTCGTTCAACCATGAGCCCATTCTCTCGTGTAATGTATCCGCTGCTCCGTTCCATGCTTTCTTCACTTGATCAGCAATGTTGTCTAAATTGTTCTGTTGCGACTCCTGCTGCTGCTGCTGCGCATCTTGGGGCATGGGAGAAGCCTAAAAACGATACGAACGTGTCAATTAAAATTCATGCTTGGTTTTCCTTAATAATAAATGAAATCTAGCGTTGGTCACTGTTATGATTATTTATTTCTGTTGCAGTCTAGGTTGTTGTCACTAAGGTGAACCGAAGCTACGCGTCGAAAACGAATAAACTTTATGCTTGTCGAACCGTGGACAATTTTATTTGAAGTTACAATTTAGGTAAGGTTTTATAAATGTATCGTAACGCCTGAAGAGGGCCTCCTACGCTAGATCATCATAACAAATACGATCGGTGTGATATAAAAGAAGCGATTGTGCGAAGATCGTTTATGAAAAACGAAGAAATTATGTAATTCTTGATATGTTTAATTACCTGGAACAAGTAAAACAGGGAAACCAGAAGAATAGCGGCGAAAATATATCGGGCCATAGTGTAATCAGTGGTCCTCGTATTGTTCTTAAATATATGTGATAGTTTCTGTCAGAGGGTCGACCGTACACTGCTTTAACCAGAAGCCTCGCACGAAGAACGCTACAACGATAAGAGGAGGAATTAAGATCAAAGATCACACTAATAACCACTTAAAGTCTCTATGTATACTTGTACGTAATACTCGATTCTCGATTGTCGACGACTCACAGTGTTCGCTGCTACCGTTCCCGCTTCTTTGTATCGAATTGAAATGAATTGCTCGCCGTTGGAATTCTGTATTTTGATCCATCCAATTGCATATTTCGCATCGCGTCATGAGTTGCATTTTTTGTTACAATCGGCTGTCTCTGTTCACCGGAAATTGTGTAATTCCTTTATCTCCGTTTCCACGTGTTTTATCGAATACGGAGAAGCCGACCTCGAGTATACGGTAAAAATATCCGACGCGCATAAACATTTCTCGTTTAAGGAAACTCGATTTATTTATTAATTTATTCCATAAACAACTAGAAGCATCGAATTTCCCACATTCTCGAGTAGAAATTTGAGAATCACTGCCTTATCTCGCCGTTAATGAATCACATAAGCGTACGGAAACCTATCGCTAGTTTCAAGACGTTTCCTAATCTCTTCCTTAATTTTCCTAGCAACTTAAAGCTCTCGTTCACTTCCATTGATATTCCAATTAGCTGACTTCGGTCATTAATTTCTTCCTGAAATATGCAGAACCGTCCCAGCCGTACGGAAAATACCGTGAATCAATTTCGAAATCGGCCCTTGGTCTCGTCTTCTTTCGATTCTTTTCCTTGGTGGAATTTCTATCGATTCTTCGGAACTCGAGGTATCCTCGGCGCGAGAACAATTCTGGAGAACCAGTAGGAGGATCGCAAAGTAAACTATAATAAAGTTGGTCTTCATACCGGATCCGTGGCCGCAATAACACTGTAAAACCATTTCGTCCTGACAATCTCGTTTGCCGCGGGCCACAGAAATTTTTATTCGCGTCGTCAGCAAACACTTAAATTCCTCGCTGTTCTGCTACCGCGGTAAATCGCGATGTTTTTCTATTAAAACAAAAGGTCTTAATATAGACTGGATGATACACTTAATAACAAGAGGATTTTAGGAACGTATTATTTTATTCATATTTTTTTTTCATACATTATAAAACTTGGATCGTTAGTAAATAAATAATATTTCAATAAATAGATCGCGCTTTCATGTCGCGCATATAAGTTAATAAAATAGTGTACAATAGGTATCTAAGTACAATAGAGACGTATTATGTGGACGATATACTGCGATTACTATAACAACGCGACATACGATTACATCTCGCAATTATTCGTAACCTTGGGAAAGTGATTCCAATAGCTGTCTGCACGCTGAATTGTGAAAATCTCTGGATCGAAGATGCCAAATTTTAACGTCGTTGGGATTACCTATATGAATCGGTTTCAACTTGTACACGTTGAACCTAACAGGATCGTCGCTGGCGATGCGCCCTATCAGCCCTAGGTCTTCCTTAGGCAAAATAACAATTATATCGCCAGAAGACAGACCAACGTTGTCCAACGGACACTCTATATCGCTCTTGTTAAGCTGCAAGTGACTTTGCGAGGGCGTAACTCCGTTCAAAGGATGATTCAGCTTCGATCGAGAGGACAAGACGACCCACGTACCGCAAGTACCAGAACTAATCAGCGAGGATATCGATGGGGACATGTTAGACCTGTACATATCCAAAATTTTCCTGAAAACGTTTATCTTCGACGATTGTTCCAATCCTGGCGTACTCTGTCGCTGATCAAGGTATTTGTACAAAGAGTCGGTATTCCCCAGATTGTTAACATAATCTTGAGACGGTTGATCGCTTGACTCTGAGCTCGATGATCCGTTTTGCGGTGGGAACATGGAAGTCAAGGGACTCGAAGATTCGCTGCAGTTGTTCCTGATATTTCTCTGAGGTTCTGAGTATCCTGGCAGGGAGTCGAGCAACTTTGCGAAGGAAGACAAAGGATTTTGTGTAGGGTAATCAGAGGTACTGGTTTGAGATGAGGATGGCGAATGTGGAAGGTTGCCATCTTGCTGAACGTTCGGTGATGAGTGAGAAACGATATGGTTTAAGGAAGGTTTATCCACTGGTGGTCCAGTGGAAGATGAAGAGCCAGATGGCGGAAAATAGTTTAAAGAATCGGTATAGGGAGCTGTTCCTGCTGGTAGGTTCGAAAATGGTGGTAGCAATGGGATGTAACTGTGAGGTAGAGTCGATCGCGGATCATCTTCGTTCACAGGTGTAACAGGCTCCGCAGAAGAGGATTCAGACTGAGGAGCGTAAGTGGAAGACCCATTTTCATTTACGATTGGTCGAAATTGTTGCAGGAACGGAAGTAACGAATAATGTGGTCTGTTACCATTCTGCTGCATATTCGACGCGGAAGATAAAGCATCGTCGCTTCCAGCTGGCGTTGCAGCCGATGAGGACTTGAATTGCAAAGAACTGCTCGTGTCGTCATCTCCAGGAGTTACCGTTGGACCAGAGAATGTAGATTCTAAAGGACTGCTGGGAGTACTGCTCGGTGAAGCCCCTAGGAACATCTGGAAATCTTCAGGCGACGTGGGATCGTGGCGGTTGGTGTGAATCGAATTTCCATCAGGCGTCGACGTGCTGGATTCGCTTGAATCGGTGTTTCCAAAGTTGAACATTGGTAAATTGTAAATAGAAAATGGGAAGCGAGTAGACGATGCACGAGACTTTGCAGGCTTGTCCTGCTTTAGAGAATTTGGTGTAATCCTTGATGGGAGACTCGAGAGAAATTTAGACAGTTCCGATTGGTCTTGAGCATCGTTTGATTTGTCCGAAAGGCCCTGAGAAAGGGGCACTACCACTGGTTTAGGAGCTGACGTTTCGCTTTCGGGATCCATTTGTTTCATACCCAACGAAGGTACAGGAAACCGATTGAAAGGAGAGTCGTTTGATTGTGAACAGTCGCATCCATGGTCTGTAGTACCTGGAATTCCTGGAATTCCTGGGATGCTTGGAATTCCTGGGGTGCTTGGAATGCCTGGAATGCCTGGAATGCCTGGAATGCCTGGAATATCTGGAATGCCTGGAATGTTTGGAATGTTTGGAGTACCTGGAATACCTGGAATACCTGGAATACCTGGAATACTTGGAATACTTGGAATACCTGGAATACCTGGAATGTTTGGAATATCTGGAATGCCTGGAATGTTTGGAATAGCTGGAATACCTGGAATACTTGGAATACCTGGAATACCTGGAATGTTTGGAAATCCTCCATTTTGGTCATCCCAATCAATTCCAGGAATATGGACAATGCCTGGCAGGAAATTTCGTAGAAAAGCCAAAATCAAGTTCTGCAGCGTAGTAATTATAGCTTCGAAAAATCCAGAAGGGGATTGTGCTTGTACAGATTCGATGAAGGTTACGAAGAATCCCTTTAAATTGACGAAGAATCGATAAAACAGGTCTTGAGGAGAAAACTTCTCGAAGAACGATTGTATCAACGTAAGCCCTTTCCACACTTGCTTCACCACTCCTTTAACAAATTTCGGTATGTTTCCGTCGAATAGATACAATGCGTTCTCTTTTGCATCGAATATCTCGTCCGTTATTTCCTTGAAGATGTCGATATTTGGTTCAAGGATCCCGAGGAGTCCTTGGAAATGAATGAAGAATTTATTGATAGCGTTCTTCAATCTGGTCAAAGTGGCACGGATCTCAGTTACGGGAATATACTTTTCGATGATTTCGGGCAGCATCTTCAGGTTCTCAGGGTTGTCGAAGAACATCTCCAAACGCGCTATGCTGTCCTCGATAATTTTAAAGAGATTCCCACTGAACAGTAGTTCGATCAGTGAACTCGAGCTACCTCCATTTTCTTCGCTATTTATCAGTAGGTGTAACGGAAGATCGTACTGTATAGTTTCTTCAACGATTAAAAAGTAGTGGAAAAGTCTCCTCAATTCGCAGAAAATTTCGTGCGCGATGATTCTGGACGTGTGCTTATGGCCAAATAGTTTCGCCTCCTCCTCGCAGGAACAAATTTTCTTGTCGTTTCCAGAAAGTTCGTCCAACAGCGAATTTAACACGTTGCGCTTCAACAATTTGCTCCATTCGTCTGTAACGTGCTAAAAGTGTTTCGCAGATTTGAATAAATAATTCTACATTTGTCCATACAATTAACAGCGAATCTTACCTGTCTTCCATTCATTATTTGTTTTGACAGCGACAACAGACTCTTCGTCGCCTCGTCTGTGAAATTTCTGGACACCTATGGGAATGCAACAAGAAAGTAACTGTCAATTTGTATATTTTGCAGAGATTGATCGAAAACGAAGAGGAGTAATGAAGAATTACCGGAAGTGCTTCCATGATCTCATCGTCGCTATCTGGAGCATTGGTCGAATCTTCCTGATGCGCAGGAAGTTCAGACGAAGAACTTCCTGTCTTTCCATCGTCGATTTTTGTTTCGTTTCTTTGATCTGCATTAGTGGTAACGAATACCAGGCAGAAGAAAAGAATCGTTATGTACTTGTTCTTCATCGTTCCCATCGGAGAAGACCCGATGGTTTCGGTCAAGTATGGTGCTTCATATACTCGCAGGATTCTTATCTCGTTTCAAAAGACATCACGCAGATCGTGAGCAACACCGGCAACAATACAGATTACTAATTTGACACGAGTCAAATTTTACGCGATAGCGTCGATTAAAGGAAGATTTTAGTTGTCTTGATTATGTTAAGGTATCCGTGTCGATCCACGTTGATTCGCCGCGAGACACGTTTCTTTTAGCGATTACATGTTTGTACGCGTAAATATAAACGCGGGAATTTGAGGACCGCATCGAAACAACAAACAAACGAGGAATTTATTGGATCGATAAAGCAAATAAACTACGTTGACGTAAGAGGAATATCTAATCGAGAATAATTGAACTTGTTTTCGTAAATAATGAATGAAGAATGCAGGAAACGATATATTATTATTCGTTCGATTGATTTTATTAGCCTGTATTACATCATGCTTCTTGTATTTACAGAAATTTCATATTCCTCAAGTAGCTTAACATTCGTAAGATGGCTGAACCTCGCAAGCAGGAACAAGCACTGTATCGATACGAGTTCTGAGTCCCTTCAATCGTTGATGAAACATTCCTTCGGATTGCTCGTTGCCTTGAGGAATACTACAGAAAAGGAACATGGAAAATTAGATTTATAAACACGGAACTTTGAAGGTATAGCAAAAATAATTTAGTAAAATTTACTCAATGTTCCGAACTGTCTCGTCAATTACGAAGTTATAATGTTTGGAGGCTGGCGGTGCCTCGACAGCAGGAGGAACGTGAGTATTGTACGTGTAAAATGTTCCTCGCGATGTATCGTCTATAATGACACTGTCTGATTGCGATTTAATAGAAGTAGAAGGCACATCTATTGTTATCGAGTATTCGTCGCGACGTGGTTGCACATACATATCCGAAACAACTCTAAAATTCAACGACACAGGTATCTTCTCGTCCTCTACGGGTGGTTTAGGTCCCTGGAAAATGATTTCATTACCAAATGATACATCTGTTGTGTAACATCTTTGTTGCAACTAAACAGATTGTTTTCTACGTGTTCGAAGAACAAAGCACGTCGATTCAAATTGTTAGCTTAATGGGCATTAATTTGTTGCGCATACATACCTCGATCTTGATTGGTAATTGGCGTGTCGCGATGCAAGGATCGCCGTATGTAACTATCTTAGGTCTGTCGTGGCTGTAACAACATTCGAAATTGAAGATCGAATGAAAAGCGATAAGAATCCAGAACGCGGTTCCCGTATTCATGACCGTATCTGAAAATCGATACTGCGATTCAGCTGTAGGCGGTATGCTCGCATTCTTAATATACGGATTCGTGAAAAACAATATCACTTCCTGTTTATCATCGAACGTATCAATTTTTATGTGGCGCAATTTATACGTATACGTAAATAAAAACGGAAGGAAACTCATCGTTTTTCCATTTAAAAGTTTTACAGCTCCCGAACGTGCCCGAGTAGGCGGAAGCGAGCGAACTTCATCCGCGGAAGTTACAAGCCTCGAACGTGTTTATGAAAAAGGAGATGAAACGCACGTATCGCTGCAAGTTTTAAAACATGTAAGTGAAAACCATTTTTCATGCAGACCACTGTATAAAATCGTAACGTGCTATTACAGAGTTGTAGTGTTCGTAAATTAAAACGTACGTAAACCCAAAAGCGCGCGGTTAACGCCGTCTTCGATAACACTTCCTTTCGATAGCTAACAATAACATATTCAAGATAACGACGCTGAGCAAAATGTTTGATCCAAGCTTGAGAGAAATATGTTCGGGGATGAGTGGATCAAAAATTAAAACTATACACATGGCTCGGAGAGGTATTTTTAAAAAAGAAACGCGGTGTTTTTAAATATATATTAGGCAAGTACCGCGTTATCTAGAGAAGAAGAGTTATTTAAATAATGAATCGAATAAAGGAGAACTATTTTGTTATTTATTTATTAGTTAAATTTGATCTAATAGAATATCCCAAGCCCTATTCATCTTTGCATTTCGATATTCTGTTAATCTCAGAAAGTATTCCAAGTTCTATCTCAGGAGTTTTAGTGTCTTCTAAGATCCGCCTGCCCTACCAGTCTCCTCTGCCATGTGTTGCTCATACCAAAAATTGCTTTTACCCCGCTCGAAAGACCGTTTCACGATGCGTTGACAGGATCGCTTAAACCTCGGAAGTCGAAGTCACAGGAACATCGTAAATCTCCGTACCCAGCGAAGGCGTAACAGAAACTAACAAATACTATTCTCTCTTTCTTTTTCTAAGTTATACACCAGTAAGAAAAAGTGTAATTTTATTGATTTGTTAAATTTCTTGAAGTCTTGACGAAGTCGTAACAAAATATTTTCCTTTGCTTATTTTATTTTATACTAAATCTAAATGTCCTATTAATCCAGGGGATAAAAGTGGAGAAGGTTTAAAGTTTCATTGAAAACGTTTTATTTCTCAAAAAATATGTACAGGATAACGATTTCTAATGGTCTACAACCAAAAGAATTGACTATTTTATTGTTTAATCAATCATTGTGGACACGGAGGATTTGTTGGATGTATCTCGATATTTCCAGGATTTCCAAAATTATCTTCGATGACCGTTTCCTGAACTATGACTTTGCCTGGAATATAATCTGGTATTGGTGGACCTAAGGGACCACATGGTTCTTCTGCACTATCATTAATTTCTCCATTGATTATTCCATGATTGTGTTTTCTTGATTTCATATATACTGAACCCACAGGTGCGTAACCCAGATCTCTGAGAATGGTTAACATATTAGTTAGCAAATATTTATATTATATAGAGTTCAACTCCTGCTTTATAAATTTTAATCTGTAAATAAAAAACTTACTTATAAGTGAGAAGGCTCTCTGACATTTGATCTGCAGATTCTTCTTGCGTTATACTTTCACGTTCAATCGCTTCAAGTTCCGCGAGTTTCGCTTCTTCTTGTTCATCGTATGAACCAATAACCACAGTTCTCGGGGGCGCTAGTTTTAATTCTACGACAGGTTTCTCAACCATCACAAGTTTCTCTTCCGGAATATCAAGAGTCTTCTTGTCATTTTTCGATTCATTTGGCACCGTTCGATGACCAAACGATAATTTATCTTCCGGTATAAATTGTTTTCCTTGTCTATAAATTACATTTGGAGCGCGAAGGTTTTTGTACGCGAGAGTAAGAGAGACTGCGTCTGCTGGCATCTCCGGATACGAATGATCTACTACAGTTTCATCTGAAAAATATGTTCTGTATTATTTAACGTAACTCTGAGTTTTGACAAAGATAGATTTAGAGTACATATTTCCTGTCACACCTGTGTCATCATCAAAACAATTTGAAGTGCTGCCAGTTATAGAGAATTGTTTTTGTCCAATAGCACGTGCTGGAGGTATATTGTACATTCCGAAGCTGGGTTGGCTTAATCCAAAGTGTGGATGTCCATACATCCTTGACCTTGATCTACTAAATGTTCCCAAATTTATATTTGGGAGCAAACTTGGCCTGGATCCACTATATGTTTTAGGATACAAATTTCCAAACAATCCTAATCTGTTTGCGGTAGGTGCCCCAGGTAGTGTACCAGTAGTAACTCCATTTCCTCCAGATGTTGATATACCAGGTACAGGAGAATTTGGTTTTGCAAATATCGTTGGACTGGATCCACTTGTTGTACCCAAAGTGCCGGTTTCGATTATTCTGGTTGTAGTCTCGCCAGTGAGCACGTTCATACAAATCTCATAAGGAAGTTGGTTGGGTGATGGGTTAGTACAGCTGCTGCATATGATTTTACCAGGATAAGCTGGAGTTACTTTTGTTTTCTCTATCAGTAGTAGTTTTCCACTGCGGGGGTCGACTGGAAGCGGGTAACATAAATCGCCAATTGGTGGAAAACTGTAAATAAAACAAATATGTTTGCAGTCTTGTTCTAACAATTTATAAAATTCGTAAAAAAGTAGAGATTTTCAAATACCTGGGTACAATTTTGCCACTATTACTGGTTGGAATTATTGAATCACCAGTTTGTGTTTCTGATGTTTGTTTGGCACAACCACAGCCGGAGTTACTTCTGCTTGAACTTTCAGAAGGAACAGGTATAACGTCTGTTTGAGGAACAGGCAATAGAGAAGAACCGCTGCTACTACGTATCGTAGAATCACTCTCACTGATGGTGTATGTAACAGGAGTAGAAATACTTTGCGAATCAGACTGACTATTTTGACTGTTACGTGCAGCTGCCGCATCGTTAATGTCTTGCGGTGATACATAATACGTTGGTTCTGGTAATTTTGCAGCTGTCACAACGGAATCGGTACAGGTGCAAGGATTTGTACCTGTAATTAATAGTGTTAAATTAAAGTGACACATCATATAGTAAAATTATCTTTTTTCAATCGTGTACCTGGTCCTAAATTTCCACATTTACACTCTTGGTGAGTTGCCTGAACCATCAATGAATATGCTACTGCAAGGATGAAGAGAGTGCTCAGAGTCAGAGACTTCATATTGACGAAGATCTTTCTCTTTTGTCTTGTCCCCCATTCTGATTGCCTTATATACGTGAAAAAGTTATGAATTCGAAAAAGAATTGCACAATCCACCAGTATCAATTTTATTTCCTGTTACGTTCGAATATGCCCCCGAAACTTCCTGTATTCGTATACTGTAGACGAGACATTATTTCTTCATAGCAGATACATTTATTTAAATTTTGATGCAAACATAAATGAATCATTTAAAACTTACATCCCGGTATAACGTCGCATTTTGAATGAATCAAACTTCGTGACCGTCCGCTATTTCCGCATACTTCCGTATTATTGTTTATACACGCAGTAAGGTCAAACGGAAGCGAACACGTTAACGCTCTATAATCGTTATCTACATTTTTGAAGTCTGATTTAATTCTATCAACATTTGAAGTCAAATATCGTCTGAGTTATAGAGAGATCATTTTTGTTTTTTAAGTATTTTATTATAAAATATTAATTTTATGATATAAACAGTCGGTAATTACAATATAAGTTAATATTTTTCGTTCAGAATTATAGCAATATATTTACAATATTATACAATACACAGTGTTGAAAATGTAATACATCTTTATGTGTTTCATTTATTAAAAAAATCCGACGCTCTTTGTCTCTGGAGAGGCAAATTGAGTAGATTATCGGTGAGAACAGGACCTTCGCATCGCATACTATTTTCGGAATCAAGGAGATTTTCCGGTTTTGATGGTGTATTTATTCGCGGAGTGCTCGGTGTTCTGATACCTATCAATGGTGTCCTCGAAGATGGAACTCTTCGTGGGGTTGGTGTACTCGCAATTCGAAGTTTCTGTGTAGCTAATCTTCTAGCTGCTGGAGACATGGTACTCAAACGATCTATAGTTGATCTTGGTGATGGCCTATAATAGAATAGATTTTAAACATTAATATAGGTATGCTAATTGTAAACGTTATAAATGACACGGGAATACTTACGTCGCTAATGATTTTCTAGCTGCTTGCAAGGCTTTAGTTTTTCTGTCTCTGTGCCTTTCACCAGCTTTCTCTGCCAATTGTAATGCCAACTGTTCTCTTTTTGGAGGTTCTGCCATTCTAAATGATGGTCCTTGACTTGTCCTCAATAAAGGAGTATCTCCACCATCCAATCTGAATGGTGTACCTTCAATCTGACCCCAGGTCATCAAAGGACTTTCACATTCTCCGGGTCTTGGACTCGGGGTTGCTACAAAACTAAATCCATTTACTCTAGGTGTTGGATTTCTAACAATTTCTTTGCCATCGACTCCAATTTTTCCATCGTTAGCCTTTGACTGATTCTTTGCCAATTCATTAATGGTTTCCTTATTCTGTTGCTCATTGAAGGGATTTGATCTGAGTCTTGTATTTTCGTGTACTACTAATTGTCGTTTTTTAGCTAGGTCTATCCTTTCATCTGGAGTTAATTCAACTCCATCAGGAACATACATAATGTAATTTTTATTTTTATAACTCCAACTGTCTAATCTATTAAGTTTCTCATCTCCATTCTCGATAGCTAATGTGTCCGATGCTTTCCCATTGGTCAGTGCCAATGATTTTTCTTCAGCTTCATAAAGCCAAGCATACTTAAGCTTGAGTTTCTTTTCTGCCTCCACCATCATTTCTTCGAAACTTGCATTGTCTTCACTTGTGTGCATACTCAAATATGCATCTAATCCAGTTTTAGTTTCTGGTTTATCCTTTTGTTTCGTGCTTGTGGCCACAGGCGTATCTGTTGGAGTTTTTGATGCTTTCAACTGTTCATCTTCTGATTCAGTTTTATTCATTGGTGTCTCAAATGTTGCTGGACTGGCTGGCCTTTCAGTTGTCGGTCGTCCTGAACTATATTTTTCATAGAGTTCTCTCATCCTTTTCACGTCATTTTGCTCTAATGCATCTAAATATTGATTCTGTGCTTGAAGTCTGTCTAAGTGTGGAAAGAAATCTCTCTGTATAATTTCTCCCATTTTCTTTATGTATGCGTCTTCATCCAAAATTTTTGGCTGCATTCTTTTGTGCCTCTTAGCAACACCTATCGGTTTTTTAAATACAGCCAAGTCTGTCATATTTTTGGCTGCCTCTAGGGCTTGAGATCCTGGAGAGTTCATCGTCAAATCTGTAAAAACCACAATGCAGTGTTTACACGAAAGCAAAGACAATGTCCACAAAAACAATCCAAAATGACAGCTGCAAGTGTGGACGAAAATGTATTCGACGTATACGTATCACAACAGTTATAAACTTTCTGAAAGTCAAAATGATTCGTATTTACGTTTTGAAAGAAGTAAGGTTATGCGCAGAGATTCTTCTTAAATGCGTCTGCCCGTGCATCAATGTTTTATTTTTACTTCTCATTCATACTTATATGTACGTGATACAACTGAACATTTTTGCAGCTTTTTCATCGTTATTGGAATTAAAAGCTGATGGAATATATACACTAGTGCGTAAAACGAAACACCACTCGCAAACAAATATTAAACCTAACCAACAAAGGATAATGTGTGCTATGTAGAACTATCGCTGTCAGTGTCATGTGGCGTCATTGTGCGTCCATTGCATGAACTTTGGCAAGGTAAATAATTTACATCTCTAATTAAAATGGGTACATTTTTCACAAAACCCGCAATATAAATAAATCTGTACATAATTTATTTATAGATTTAATACAGTAAATAACTACAAGACTCGAGGACGTACCAAGAAATAAGGAAAAAACGAGCGAGAATGTTTCAAACATTATATAAAATGTGTTTTGTTAAGTATGCTTTTGAGTAGAGTAATGCTTAAACTTATTTTTATTGAAAAGATCTCGTCAATCCATGGATGATACTCTCATAAAGATAAAGAAATATATATTGCGTTAGTGGTCACTATATATTTGAAAACAAACAAACTATACGTTTGGAAAATTCGAAAATAATGGAGTAGTATAGTACAGTGTAAGGATGAAATTAACGAAAGTACAATTCGAATTCGATGGGGTAGATCGGTAGATCGTTGTATCGCGCCGTGCAAAGACGGCCCTGGCTTTGGCCACTCGGTAAGTAGTCGAAGCGATATTTTGGTCGAGCTGAGACAGTGGGATGGGATACGATTGCCTTCTCGTATTGCCGTGGCTCGAGGCACGGACTCTCGGAAGAAAAGAGGAAGAGAGACCGAGCAAAATGATTCGGGAGGCTCCGAGGTGTTGGAAAGGCACGATGAAAGACATATGAGGATTCCAGCGGCGAGATAGGATATGCCTGCCGACTATGTTACAGCGAAAATCTTTTGAGGTCCACCTTACGCGCGTTGCTTCTCTTTTCCTTCAGGTTTTTCGCAGAGTTTGTGTATGTTGAATTTTGCCGAAAGCGTGGCCGTCGAATGTATCGTTTATTAATTTAAACATTGTTACTCTAACTTAATTAAAGGGCATTCTTTGATATAAGTCAGTGGTTATCAAACCACATAAAGGGAGCCCCTTAATTGTTTTGACTGATGTCGATTGAATGTTCTATTTATTGAGCATAGAGAATGATTTAAATGACATGGTTATCGAATTTTTTTAGATGGAAAAGATCCCCTTTTGGATTGTAAAGCGCCGCCTCTGGGGAGTCGCCATCTTTACTTTGGAGAATACTAGTGCCAGTGAAGGAACATGTAAATGTATAAAAAATGTGAGGAACAAAGCATTTAACGAAATCAAAGATAATTTAAATTGACGTCGATATTGAATCGTTAATAATTTTTATCATTTGAACTTTAAACGATCACATGGGATTGACGAGCGTTTTTTCGAACGTTGCAAATAAATGTAACAACGTGAAATTTATTCCAAGATTCTCGAAGGTTTGCGTTACGCGGAGCACGTGTCAGTGTCAACCGACACCGAGAGCAAGAGGAGTCAAGAAAGACGTCCCATCCCGTCCCGTCCCCTCTATTTACGACATAAGGTAAACTTCTTTTAGGTCTCGTGGTTCACGGTCAGTGTCTGTCTTCGGATACTTGGCTTGCTTGGACAGTTTTCATGGCGCTAACAGACATGTCCGTCTTTCTCTCCTTCTTCTTCCTACTATACGCGTTTACAATCAATTAAATCTTCGGATTTAAGAATCAAAGAATCAAAGAGAATGGTATCGCCAGCTTCGTAAAAATGAATCGTGGACACGGTCCAGGAAGTAGCATGCATCTGGGGGCAGAGAAAAATAGGGACATTTGCCATTTTGGCACGAAGTTAAATTTACGATGCTTAATCCAATTTTAAATCATATTTGTTCCAAGTCACCTGTCGCCGTGCAATTAAGGAGGATGAGTCGACAGGCGCTAACCCGTGGTCATTTTGTTGTTGCTAATAAGGCTGGAAATACGAATAACGACGATGCTTGTTACTTGGTGAGGTAAATTATGTTGGTCATTTACGATTTCACCTACGAACGTATCCTTTTAGTTTTTAGGTTTACCGCACGCGGTGTATATATTTTTGAACTAGTTCGATATCGCGTTTAATTTTGTTTTAAATGTTGAAATGAATTAACCAGCTGCGTGGTCGTTAACGTTGGTACCCTTCGACTGCAGGTTTCGTGACAAATCGACGTTTAAATAAAACGCAAGTCACACGAAGCGAAGAGGAGGATGATGACGACGATGATGACGGCGACGAAGAAGTTTAAGAAGTAGACAGAGAGGAAGGTTGCGGACGTAAAGTATAAACAGTCGAGGTGCGATTTGACGCGCACTCCGGCCATCCAAGGCACATCTCGCTCGTTGAACGTACGCTTTAAGAATCCCGAAGAAGCGACCAGCCCCGATGGCTGGAATCTGTAAATCTGTCATTGCAGCCATATTCGTGCGGCTGGTACCGCAGGATATGAACTTCTGCTCGTCGTATGCGCCACCGACGTACGAGACCCTCTAGATCTGCCCGCTCGTCTTCTTTCGAGAACTTTGCACCAAAACGGAAGCCTCTCCCCGTCTCTCGAAATAACAAATGTTTTCTTTTTTTTTTTTTACAAAAACGTTACCGATTCTGGAAAGCTGTTCGTTTCTCCTACCGGGTCAGGAAATTGACAATTCTTTTAACGACGCTGCGAAATGGCGGTTGCTTCGTTTCTTTATAACTCATACTTCGTATCTACGTACCCGATTCTCTCGTTCTTTAAACCGTTGCGTTTAAACCGTTCCGTTCATCTCATTTGTTCGCCATTTGAAAAGTTGAAATCCGTGGTGTACAGTAATTCTTTTCAAGTTTTCAAGAGATATCGATGTTTAACTCGGACGAGAAACATTTATGACACATTTATCGGAACGTTTCGTGGAGAAAAACGAATGACAACTCGAGAAACATTGCTGTACGCCGTTTCGATCGGTGAGAAGAAGGTGTTCTGGTCGAAGGTTCAAAAACCGTTTGGTTGTATCAAACAGCGTGAAAACTATAAAAGCTCCAGCAGTCGTCGCACCGTATACCCAGCGGTATTTCCTCTGGTAGCTAGCGATGACGGATTCATGGTCCGTGGGATAACGCAACACTTTACCCTCCACATCCCCCGAAATGTTTCGGTTTACGGATGCACGCACGGTCGCTTGCACTTTCCTTCTTTTTCCTCCATTTCTCTTCACGGTTTTTTTCCTTTCATCTACCGAGCGATTCATTTGTCGGTCTTTGATCCGCGACCAACGAGCCACTACCGGAAAATTAGAGAGATTTATCGAGCGCTTGTCTTTCTTGGAACGCCATCTATCATTTTATTTCTCCTCGCTTCCGATTTCACTGGCCGTTTAATGCGACCTACGTTGTACTTATCGTTGTTAGATTATTCGAACTCGATAATAAAACCGGCACGTTTGTCTTCGTGGAACTTTTTCCGAGAGACATCGAATTTTTAATGGCCAAAAGAATGCGTGGAACGACGAAAAAGTGACCGAAATTTGTCACTTCTTTGGAGGTCCTCGGACCCCCCAAAGATTTCACAGCGAATGCAAGGTCGAAACGTATGGTTATTTAGTGAGACCCCACTGTCTTCTCGCGCCGAATGAGACCACTTGAAAAGGTTTTCCCAGGCACGTTTCAGGCCCTCGATCTCTCAATAAACACAGTTTATTCTCGACCAGTATCTGGATCTTTGGAAGGGAGCGATCGAGCAATCGAACGTTCCGTCAGTTGGCTTGTACGCGATATACATACATCGTAACGCCGTCGGTGTTCCATTTATCGAGAAAATGGGTCTTCGGAGGTTTTAAAGAGTTGGCTTTGAGGGCAGCTGGTTCTCGCGAACAGAATTGCCACCAGCAGCGCGGGGTCACCTAACCCTGTCGAGGGTTGACTTCTACAGGGCTGAGCCTGCCTGGCACCTACGAGGAAGATGAAAGAATGAGCGAAGATAGGCCGACGGTCGCTTTTTATTGCCGGCGCCGTCACGCGTCACCGATAAGCGCGGTCTCTCTGTAGACGAAAAGTCTGCACTCGCACCGGTTCTCTCGAAACACGAGATTTCTTATTCTTTCTCTTTTTCCTCTTCGCTTCTTCTATCCCTGGCATTTCTTTGTATCTTTTCACGAACCCCCTTAATAGAAAGAATTTTTAAAGGGTCCCTATTGATTTCTATCAAGCCTTGTATAAAATCAGGAGGTATCGAGGAGACGGAAGCTAGGACAATGTACTCCGTACAGAAACAGAGCCTTTAACTGATAAGTATCGAATAGATTAGGCATTGCATTCGCCCGCATTTTAAACATCAATTATTCGTCCACGATTCGCTTTGTTTAAACTCGTGTTGGGAGTCGCGAGACCGTACCGAAATAAGCGCAAATCTAATTTAAACGTGTACGGTCATTTTAATCGCTTTGATCCAAGCGTTTCCTTTTTTGTTATTTCCGTTGTTTGCGACATCGGGCGTAGCTCACTCACTCGCGACTACAAAACGTTTCGGTGGATGCAAGTGGGAGATATTCACCGAGAGTCATTAAGGATACGTTTGTAATATGTTTACACAACGGGTTGCTTCGCATGGCCATCAATCACGGGCCACGTCGGTCCATCCGTTTTTCTATGCGTGGAAACCGACAGCGTCGTGTCGCCTTGCGTCGCGTCAGACGCTCGCGTTCCGTGTCGCTTCGTTGGCATTAGCGTGTCGTTTTTAACAGTATCGGTGTTAAACCACCGCGCGCGCCGTGCTCGTCTACCAAAATGTTGTTCGACGATTTGGCGTATGCACTCCGTGACGTTTTCTGCCAACGACTTCGCCGACTTAGAGTATACGTAGAAGTTAAACGGAAAAGCTTTTGGATTTTTGTATGAAATATGACTAAATGTAGGGGTAGAATTGAAGATAAAGGAAAGAGGAGGTCGCGAGAAGCGGTAAAAGAAATGGTCTTGAACTCGAGTGCTCGATGTCACGTTGACATTTATTTCATACACTTCTCTTTTTTTTTTCGAATACGTACAGGACCGTTGCGCACGCAGAGCGCTCTTGAGTTTCTTAATATTAGCGGATTCTCGAGGAAAGAGAACATTCGAGGGGGAAAAAAATTTCGAGATACAATGGCACACGATACTTGGAGAATAATTTATTAAGGCACTTAGCGACCAAGCTCTCTCATGGGTTGTCACGGTGCGTTTACTTTCCCGACTTGGCTCGAGAGCGTTTTAGGCCCGTTTGGCATTTCAGACACCCTGTATAAATAGATGCACTTTGCTCCTACAAAAGGCACTTTCTTTTTCGACCGTCGAGCTACGGACCTACGACACCAACAACCGATTTGTATCGCGTGGTTCGATCGTCGCGAACAGCGACGGTACTAATCACGCCAGGAATCGGCGGAATTTTTATCTAGGCCGACGCTCGAGATATCGAAATTATATCGAATCGAATTACATATTTTATTCTCTTTCACCTTTTCAAGATCCTTCGGTAAATTATCATTTAATAAATATGTTTTCGATGAACGTCACCGGTACCTTGTTTACGAGTACGATGATTTATTAAGAATAAATGATTTTTGAATAAATACTACACGCTACGAAGGCAGAGTAACAGTTCACCGAAAGATCTTAGGAAAAATTGATCAAAGTAGATCATCGATTGCGTTATCGTTACATTTGGCTCGCTGCTTCTTTTTATCTTACGTATGTATAAAGACACTGGATACGAATATAATTCAAGTTACTGTATATTACATACTTAAAGCTAGTACTATCTTTGGTATAGTTTTCACAAACTTTCTCTGCAATTACTCTCTCGATAAGGCACGATTCGCGACACTCGTTCATCGCACGTTCTACGATATGCTGCTGGAAAGAACGTTTGCTTAGTCCACCGTACAACTTCCATTCTTTCCAAACAATCAACAATGAGTTTTCCAATTCCTACACCTGTTGATGTACTCAAGGGTAGTCTTCTCTAATACGCATATCAAAATATGTTTAATATTTTTCAGTGCTCTACAATCTGCAGAATATAAAAAAGATCGCTGTGTTCATTTCGAATGACGTTCCTCGCAACTCCGAATTATCGTGGCCCGTACAACGACGCTCCCGAGGGATGCGCATGATGAGGATGCGTTGGATAATGAACAGAATTCATATGCGCCGCAGGTTGACCATGGTGCGCGGGATAAGCCCAAGGTCCAGCAGCGGCAGCTCCGTAAAATTGATGATGATCCTGACTAGATATACCAGGGATCTGGACCGTTGGTATCGCGTTCACGTAACTACTCGACGAGAGTACGCCGGTGCTTCCGGTCGCGGGCCTCTTCGCAGGATTCTGCATACTGGAAACTGTAACGGAGTCGCACTCGTCCGATTCGCAGTCTCTGAACCCTTTGGCGAACGGATTGCTGGCGATCTTCAGTTGCGTGATGCGATGATTCTGGTAGGCGGTTACAGCGGTGAATCTCGTCTCGGGGAAGGTGAAGGTTTTGAAGTTCTCCGTGCGAGGATCGGGGCCAGAACCTGGCGGCGAGGGCGCGACCACCACGTGGCACCTTGGTTGGTACCGATGCATAGAGTTTAAGATTATCTGAAACGCGAAGAAGGTACTAAAGAATCGTCTACTGTAGTCGATACAGAGCTAGGAGTCTGAGAGGGGCTATGAATGTCTAGTTTCATAAAAATCGTGTTTTCTTCTTGCTTTGTGGAAGACTGAGCATTCCAATGTTTCAGGATCATCTGTTGGAATCGTTATCGGAAGACGACGGTGATCCGAAGGAGTAAGAGAAGTCCCGAGGAAGGGAAATGCAAGAGGAAAAAAACACACGTGAGGACCTTTCTATGTTTCGAAGGAAGAGCCACCGCAGGGGGGCGGTCACAATGTTTGACAGCCACGAGAGACTCGGTGACTAATTAGTGTAAAAACTAACCCCCGACCCACTCCGGCAACACGACACCCTCGTCCTTCCTCTTGCGCACACTTTTCTACGAGCATATGCCGGGGCATGTGTCTCTTTGAATACACGAAAAGAACAGAACCACAGGGCCGGTGGGGAGGAAGAAGAGAAGAAGAAAAGTCATCCTCGCGAAGAGCCAAGTGTGTGTGTGTGTGGCCTTCCGACACGGTCTACCAGAATCTTTGAATACGCGATTTTCTTCCTCTCATCTCCTTCTCACCCCCGCCAATTGCTATATTCTATTTTTTTTATCGTTTCCATGCCAGAGATAGACAAAATATTAATCAAGATTCATTACAATAAATTACATTCCAAAGCTAGACTACTTAATGTTTACACATTTTGCAACAAGAAGGCTCCGAGTACAAAGGGTTAATATTAATATTCTCAAGGATCATACGCGTAAAACAAGCATCATAATGTATCGAATTTCGTCGCGTTTCTCAACCGTGAACGCTCCACGACGCAAAGCCCCAATTAAGAAACCGGAATCGTTGAGCGTTTTAGCGCCGAATTCTGACCCGACTGATTTTTTACAAAGCCCGGTGGCGTGCCTCTCTAAGCGCAATTAAAGGAACAAACTGCTCGATGGCACGTGAAAGAAGGGCCCGACAACCACGAGTCAAAATTCTTTCCACGCGTTAAGTAATAAATCCTCGAATGGAACGCGAGCCAACGCCACGAGTCGTTCGGCTTCGAAGCGCGCGCGTCCAGAAAATTCGTTTGAACAAAACAGTCGAACCGATATGGTTTGCTTCCGTGCTTGTTCATACATTCTTATATTCCTCTGAATAAACTTCACCCGATAGTCATTCCAAAACTCAAAGTCTTAGTTTTCGGACAACGAAATAAAAACGATTAAACTCGTACCAGTAATTTGCCTCGCTTTCACAGTCCTGTATCGAAATTGGACGAGTCATCGAGCGAGTTTGTCGGCAAAAGTGGCTGTCTCGCGTTTATAATAATCGACGACACGTCGAACGAGAACGTAGTTGTTCAGATTTTGGAAAAGATAGATCAGGACCAGGACGAGCCAGATGAAAAGCAACCCCAAGAAAAGGAATTGTGACATTGTCCTAGAACAGTTTTCGAGCGATTAAAGAGCAATGGTAAAGGATAATAAATAATGAATGTAGGATTAGGAATCAGACTGAATAATGAAACAGTCCTGTCCTGAAACAGGTCTGGTGTCGGAGGGTCGCGCTCTGTCCTCTCTTTGACTCACGACTGACCAATGCAACCGACGTCTGAATCGAAGCAAATTCGAAACATTAATCGGTATGCCAATACGTCTCGGTGCCGAACCGCTTGATTTGCAATGGTGCCTGACACGCTGAATTTGGCACGGATACGTAGGGACGATTATTTTTGGCGCAACCGCAGGTGCATTAGGACACAATGAAGAGTAACGGAATCGAGAGGTTCTCGAAGTTCGACGCGCGAAGTAGAGCGTAACAAACATTGTTTATTAAAACAAACTACTCGATTCTATCATAGTTATTTGTAATCTTCTAAAAACTCGTAGGATGAAATTTTTAAGCGGACGATCATCTCGAATAATGTATCAGAAATAAATACCGCGGTTTTAGACTATTCGATACTCTTTCCGTTTGTAATTTCCAGCCACTACCAAAGGAATTCTTTTGAAAACCGTAAACACGTCCTCCAAGGCTTCGCTGTCTTTCCCAGGCTTCCAGAGCTTCGTTTACACTACACATGTTTACGCTACTTGCGTTAGGCTCGCGGTTGAGTTTCTATCGCCGTTCCATCCTGGTGACAGGACTGTGGGATTAATAAGGCGCGGACAACGGAAGATTCAAAAAATTTACAAACTGTGAGTAGGCTCGCTTTACGATATACTCAGTCGAACCATTCCAAGTGGAATCAGATACTTTTTGGAGTGACTTGACTTTGTACAGAGTATAATTAGGTTTGTACTCTCACTTTTCAAATGTTGCATCGAATTAATCAATCCATGAATTATGTTTCAGATAAAACAAGAACAAAGGTGCACAGGAAAATACGGTGCAAACTTTACCCTGTAATGTAGTCATTGACTCATTCAGTAGGCGATTAAATTTCTACGATCAGCAGGGCATAAATCTGAAGATCGTAACGTGTTAAAACAATTATTGCTACTAATTACTCGTAAGACGATAATAGCTTCTAATAGAACCATGCCTCATTGTCGTATTTTGTCGTAGACTGCAGTCTATGCACAGCTGAACGGCCAAGTAAATCGTTTCGTGGAGAAGAAAGAAAAAATGAAAAAATTGACGGGACGTCCTGGGGGACAAGGGAATCGTCCCGTAAAAATGTTACCGCGCGTCTCTCGCGGTCTTATAATTTCTCGCGAAGGATAGGCTCGTATCTCAGGTCAATTAAGGGGAACTCGTTCGTAAACGACAAACACGTGGAACGCGACACCGACGCGGCGCGTCCCGATGCGAAGCTTTACTTCCCTGCATCCCCTCGTTCTACTTTATTGCGTAGGTGTTTCTCTTTTGCGTCGCATTCGGAATGAATTACGCTACGCAACGTCGTTCGCACGACTAAATTTCTTTTACGTGGAAGACAAAGCCTCGAGAATGATCGTTAATCGTTTAACCCCGCTGTCATCGCTACGGCGACGTTAATTCTACTAGCTTGGTGCATAAATAATCTCGTCCTTCAGTTGTTGACTTGAAGAATACAAGAATTACTTTTGCACCAACCTAACATCAGAGATGGTCAAAGTTTTATTCGAATAGTGCCATCAGAAATTAGAGTAACTCAAAGGGAAACATGTTCGATGTTATCGCTTACGTGTCCGTTGTCGTCGAGTTGATTGTTCGTGAGCTTCAGTTTGTCGAACGAAACGGGTTGCTTCATCCAATGAGCGCCACTCGCAGGACTGTCAGGATGCACGTGAATCCTCGGAGGCGAGATTGGATCCGCGCGACCAGCCACTACCCAGGCGCTGCTGTGAAAAGCGTATCGATACCTCTTGTCGTCGCAGGGTACGAAGTCCATCACCAGCAGGTAATCCGTGTTGGGGTCTAACCCAAAAAAACGACACTGCAAATTGATCAGAATTCCGTTCTTTCAGATTCGACGATGGGAAAATGCATAAGTGACACGAGAACATTTCCTGCCACTCCAAATCGCTCGTAAACAAGGGGTTGTAAACGGCTTCCACATGGAGAGTCAAGAAATGCTTGTAACGTTCGAAACAACGAATTACTTTGTTTTCCACGAAATTTTGAAAATTAAGAATGAGTCATTAAGACATAGCAATGACCTGGAAGGTAGGGAACATTCTTCTTCCAGCTTTTGTGACGATCATTTCTGTTCCTAATTGATGGAATTCTTCCCATAGTGGTTTCGCTTCGAGAGCAGCGCCGGCACCAACCAGAGCGGAATGTAGAGGCCTCTTGGAGCCAGATTCTTCCGTCAAACTCGCGCCATTCTCTCTGGGATGGTGGTCACCGTAATGACGATTGTTGTTGTTGCTATCGTTGCGAGATTCTGTGGGAGTTGTCGTGGAAATCGACGAATTAGCGACGCGCTGTGTTAGCGAGGTTTTCGGTAAGTTGGGGCTACGGGATCGTTTCACCCTTCCCGCGGTCTGCAAACACGCTGAAATGATAATTATACGGCTTTTACGGTTTCTTAGTTTACTAAACCTTTTTTTTTGTAATAAACATCACGAAAACATGTTTATATAAAATTTTCTAGCGGTGAAATGTAGTGGTACCTACCTTCCATCTGTTGCATTGGGGATGGAACGCTCGTCATGGGCTGAGCAGAATGGTGAGTCTGATGATGGGGAGCCCATTGCTGATAGCAGCAATCAGCGGTGATATCGTGCCGTGGCTCGTGTTGCTGTTGCATCCTTACTGGTCCTCTGGCAACATCGACAACCGAATCACTTTCTTTTTTCTCACAAATTCACCATATACCTTTGAACTTGAACACTCTTTATCATTCACTCCAAAGCACAACTTGAACCGAAACTGAAGGGTAAATTTAATACGATCCTTCGTAAAAATTCGACTCGATTCTCTGCAGTCTTCAGAACCAAATCGCAATCACCACTGTTTCGTGCATAATGCAACCGTATTGTACAATGTAAGGCTTCCTTTGAAAATTTCGATCGATTCCACCCTTCGATCACAGTCACCGTCACGTTTAACAACAAGAAACACACGTTACAGCCTGGCACTTGATTCTCTGCTTTCTGTTTAATCTTTTTTCCGTCTCGTCGAAAATTTGGTCCGCAAAAAACAATCGGTGGATGTCACGCGGAAACTGGGACAAGGTTTGTCGACGTTGAAACAGAAGGAAAAAGAAATTGGCGAGCATGTCCCGAAGGACGGTTATCTTTCGTGGCTGGTCGTTAAGCGGTTCGAGGCAATCAACGAGATTCGAGATCCTGGGGCGACTATCAGAGGATGCTCGACATCGTCGACGGGCTCTCACACCTCTCGTCAACAGGACTTGTCTTCACCTCGAGATCCGGACGCTGACAAGGGCTTAAAGTCGTCGGCGGCGTGAACGCGACATCGGATGAATCAGAAAGAACTCCCCCGAGTCGACTACACCTCGCGGCTTATCATCGAGACATCATTCTCCGATGTATTCCCTCCCTCTCTCTTTTTACGGAAATCTCCTCCTCTTCTTTCCTGAGGTTTCCTCTCCACCGAGGTGACCGATCGAGAAACATTGGAGAGGAGGATCGAGAGGAAGGGAAACCTTTCACGAGGAAGGAGGGGTTTCACGAAGATCCTCCTACGCGGACACCCACGCTCGGCTAACTTGGGTTCACGGGATGCTAACTGCATCCTCTTCCTTTGGGTCCCGTGCCAAAAGGCGGAGTCTTCTCGGACGGGTAACAAACACTTGGGAGTAGCGTGATGCGTTCCTCAGGGACGAGGCTCGTGTCTCGTGTACCTCGTCGCTAGACCGCCGAGCTTAATTGATTAAAAGGAGGTGTTGATTACGCGATAACCCGCGACCATCGTCGGAATTAATTTCCTTCGAGCGTGAAACCAACGTCGTTCCCGAACCACTAAATACCCGTGTCTCTTCCTGGGTCTCCCAGGAATCTTACTGTACTTGTTGCACACCACTTACATTAGCGTCCGTAACGACTTTAAAGTATCGTAACATTTTTTTCATTTCTTTCAAAGGAAGACCTGTATTTTCATTTTAAAATGGTTGAAGAAAATGATATATATATGTATATACATATTTTTATATTTATATAATATATGTTTTCGCTTAATATCACTACCTACCATTAATTAACCATAACTTGAAGAACAACGATTCAGAGGAACGACTTTATTTATTAATAAAAAGTTCTTCACTCCTTCCATACATTTAGCCAAGTCGGTTGGAAGAATGTTACAAGTATAAACATCTATTCCGAAGTCATTACATTCCCAATTCCTTTGTAATTATTTACAATTAGTAATTACGCGAGTCTTACCGTTCGTGTTTAAAAACCTACGTTTCGTTTAAAAATCTACTACGAGTATGAATTACAGGACGTGGAACTCGTACAATATGCAATAGTGCCGGCAATAAATTCAAATTTTCGAAATTTCATCGTTTGTTTCCTCTATCATGACAAAACGAATGCTAAATATTGCGGAACTACGTACTAAATCCGGATCGTCGGATATTTAAATACTTCGTAATGCGTACACGAGTTTCCAGACGTTCGTAACTATCTAACGATTAAATTCTAAACGGAACTATGTCTGTTTCTTCACCGTGGACTTCTGTTTCAACCTAATCCACGCTCGTGTAAGCCGCTAAAATATTTACTCGAAAAATAGTCGAAACGAGCGTTTCGTGAAAAAGTGAACAAATATGTATAATGAAAGATTATGAATTTATTGTTCTATATTATACGCAATAGCATTATCAATAGTACCAGTGATTTTTATATGTACGTACGTATGTGTACATACTAGAGATCGATGAGATCGTTCGACAAGATGATTCGATTAAAAAACCAGTACTAAACGAATATCGTCGTTGCGGAGCGTCGGGGACGTGACGAATACTTATCAAACGTGAATGAAAACAAAAAAAAAGAATGGATGAATGTTTTTCGTGAGTTTTATTTATAAAATAGAAATTAATGTACAAGTACAAGGGAGGCAAACATGAATCGGTGTTTGTTGCGAGTTTGTTGGCGCGTCGATTTTTACTGAACGACGCTTAATGATTTTCTTTTGTATGCGATTATCATCGGAAAATGGATTCTGCGATCTACATGGTGCGCGAAGAAGAGCGTGGTGGAGAAATGAACAAAATTAATAGTAGCGTGTAAATGTTAATGAGACTAAGAAAATTATTTTTCGATCCGTGTGGGATCGTTATCATTCGTACGATGAAATCCTTAGAAATCGGGGTTTCTTTTTATGTTTCTCGCCCGTTCGTGATCGTATGTGTATTGCATATTCGCATAATTTCGCTACTTGCGTTATACACATTTACAGCTTGATTTTTTTTTTGTTATGTTAGATCTATTATTACGATTTCCTTCTGTAAGTTTCGCGATCGTAATAACGTCGAGCAAAATCCAGAGAAGCTTCGCGGATACATAATCGACGTTCTTGATTAGAGATAAACGCGAGATGTACAACACTGTCTTTTTTTTTGTTTCTATCCTTTTCCTCTAAAAGAAAAATATGTCGCTCGAAATTTATTGGCGTTTCACCAAACAGCTCGTACATCGTATCCTTTATGACCTGTATAAATTTAAATATAAAAACGTTGCACACGCTACAAAAAACGTTTTCTTCTAGAAAGTTATATCTGTATGTTTACAAATTTTGTGCATTTACAGAAATATAACGAAGCCAAGATTGCGTACCGCATCTGGGATATCTGTCGTTGAAAATGTCTACATACGGCGACGATATTATGTATCGATAACCTAAATGACAAAGTAATATAGGTATACCAACAGAAGCAACGGTTAGCGTAATAAACTTATCTCTGGCGTTATATCAATAGTATCGTATTATACTAAATATTATAGCTCACTTGTACTTTTGTATCGTATCATGTTTTTTCAATCAGTGTTGCGAATGGTTTTTGAATTATTCGAGTTATGAAAGAACGAAAATAATATTAGCGAAAATTCAAGAATGAATATGATGTTAACCATTCTTGTCGTTTATCGTCTTTTTTAAGAATCTTATAGTAGCCGTCGAGAATTTTTAATCTAATCTTGAGTAATCGAACTTGGCTTTAACTTTCTTTTACGGACACACACATTCGATAACATTTTTCTTTTTTCAATTAACTTTCAACTGTCTTATTAATAAAGAACTTGTCCGGTTTTTGTTTGTTGTTTTTACTTAACGAGCAATGCCCCTCCGGATTTTTCCATTACTTAATGTGTCATTATAAACGGCTTATCGAAATTTACGATAAATTCGTGTATAATATGGGAATAGATGACAATAATAGTAGCGATATTAGGTAAAATAATAACAATAACAATAACATCTTTGCTCTTACAAAAACTTAATGTTTTAAAAGATGATGGGTATTCGAGGAAGTTGTTCCGAAGTTATAAGCTTTGCGTTCAAATAAGGGGGGAAGGGGTGAAAAAACAAATCTAAGGATTTCACTTCTTCTTGCTTTTGTTATTTCCACCTCGCGGGGGCGTCACTGGTCTACCTGCGTTCAGGCCACCGTACGTTAATTTCTTTTTGTCAGCTGGCTTTAGAATTTGGAAACTGCACATGAGAGTATCATCCACGGACATCATGGCTCCAGCATTGTCGAATTCGCCACAGTAATTTGGTGCCGAAAATAGAGTGACTAATTGCCTTTTCGCGAAGAATTCATAGCCATCTTCTACCACCTGAAATTTTCGAGAGAATTACGATTGATTCTATAAAAAGTCACGTACGCAACGCAAAGCATTAAATAGATAATGCGCTAAAATTAACGATAGCGTATGTATCGTGACATACATACCTGATGAGCGCGACATATGAGGTCAAAGTCGTGCTTATGTAAAAATTTGGCAACAACTTCGGCTCCGAATGTAAACGATACACCACGATCATTTTCTCCCCAACCCATCGTGTCTTTGTCTGGATCCGACCACAATAAATCGCATAATAAACCTTGATCAGGTACATCCGTTGGTCGCATAATACGTCTGATTTGTTCCATGCTTTGGAGATCCGGACTGAGACCACCGTGACAACAAAATATTTTTTCGTCAACTATAGCGGCAACGGGTAAACAGTTGAAACAGTCCGTAAATGTTTTCCATAGTTTGATATTGTATCGACGTTTACCTATGCAACGCGAAAGTAATAATTTTAATATTCGATATTTTTAAGATCCAAAAATGAAAGTAAAAACAATTTGCTATAAGATTTCTTACATTCATCATAAAATCCATATATCCTGTTGATGGATGCGCATTCATGATTTCCACGAAGTAGAAAAAAGTTTTCAGGATACTTGATTTTATAGGCAAGCAGAAGACAAATTGTTTCCAAGGACTGTTTCCCTCTATCGACATAGTCTCCTAGAAAAAGATAATTGCTATCCGGTGGAAACCCACCGTATTCGAATAGCCGCAGTAAATCATAGTATTGTCCATGAATATCACCTTAAAAGAAAAAAAATATATCTTGTTTTGCTCTCTGGATAATAAAAAAAGGGTGGTACAAAAATGATTTCCACTAACTTACCACATATTTTAAGCGGTGCCTCAAGCTCTAATAGAATAGGTTGAGATAAAAAAATTTCGCGTGACTTTAGACAGAGCCCTCTTATTTCTCCTTCTGTCAACTGTACATTTTTGCCTGGCCTGGCTCCCCGCACTGGAAGATTAAATTATCTCCATTTATATACAATTAGAACTTTACAAATTTTACAAATTCGATTAGTTACTCATGAATGAATGCTAGAATCAAAGACTAACATAGAAAGTGTTCTACAGAACAATGTACCCTCGAAATATAAATCTACATTGATATTACGACTCTGATTCTAAAATTGAATTTCTCTGTCGTTCCAAAAAAAAAAGTCTAAGCGTTAGACTATGTCTATCCCCCTCCCCCCATTTTTAGCGGGAAACCGTGCTTTTCTCGCATAGTCACCAAACAGTGAATATTCTCCTACGACTCAGTTTCATCTATTAATAAATTTAAATAAATTCAAAGAATAAACGACGCTGGATGTTGAGAGCCGCATTGAAATGACCACGTACGACGCAGTGGCGATCATCGTGTCCACGGACAGAAGCCTCGCCCAAGGGACCAAGATTTCAGTTACGCACTGTCAATCTTGTTTCGCGTAAACAAACGGACATCGACGACTCGTCTATAGCATTTAAGATCGGTTGTATTTAAAGAGAGTTGCGTAATCGATGAAAGAAAACAGAGGCAGGGAAGGAGGAGAAAGAGGAGAAGGAGGAAAAATAAAAGGCAAGGCACGATAAATTTATTGAGAGTTATGGGATCGCTCCGAATTCATCCAGGTTCCAGAAAAACATTAACGTGGAGGAAGTTTAACAAAGGGTGACGCGGCGGCCGACAAGTTCGTCTCACGTACCCCCCCCCCCCCTTTGAAGGAGGGCAAACAGGGCAGAGGCAGCTTTACCTTCCAAGAGCCGAGCTATGATGTTGTCAATATTCAGTTTGTCGGATTCAGCCATCGGGCCGGGGTTTTGTGCGCGTCCCGGGCTTCGCACGTATCACCTTCCTCTCGGGACGATTTTTGATTTTCTTGGATTTCACTCGTCTGACACACAGCACTCAATTGCATTCGCGGTTTCGCACAATGTACCCGCAATGGCCGCCCCGGACAACCGCGCACTCCACTCCCTTTTACCCCCTCCCCGAATACCAGCTCTTCTTGCTCGATAGAGTTCGAGCGATCGATTTATCGAGCATGCTCCGTGTAACGTTTACCCGAGGATCTTGGAAACTTCCACGACTGTAAATCCCCACGACTTCGAGTCACGTACCAGATAATAATTAATAAGAGATTGCATTTATTTTAGAGATAAATTAATTAGTATGTCGACGAATTTTGAAAGTAGATAGGAAGAAGATTGGGAGTATGACGTACTTGCTTTCACAAAATAGGGGAATAAGTTTGTATACAGGAAATAATGTTGGCAATGTTCGTTCAAGAAGAAGATGAACTCTAGTAACAGCATAGTGCTTTGGAAACGAATTTTATTCGTTCGTAGCATTTTTGTCCATGTCGGATTAAGCAAATATGTAAAAATATGATAGAAGGAATCATTCCCATTAGTTATATATATATATCAATTTAGACTACTAGAGATCTATATACAAATTGCCATCCTCCATATCTTAGATACCTTTAATAAGAAGTATAGTTTATAAATTATGTAAGACTAGGACATCCCAGCAGCGCACTGGGCAGACATAGATCCAATAGAAGTTATATAAGTTACTATTTACGTATAATAGTCATAGGTTTTAAGTGAAAATGTATATAAACATATAAAATAAAGTATTGCAACTCAAATTTACGCGCGCTTTTCTTCATCGCCATAGCCATCTAGAGGTGGAAACAACGAACTAATTTTCGTAGTTTGGTCAGCGCCTCTATCGGGAAAACGCTCAAGTTAGTCGCCGAATAGTTCCTATGCGCACTGCTAGATGGCGCCATTTGTTCAATTACCGACATGTCGGTAAATTGATTGGATAAACGGCGCCATCTAGCGTTGCCCGTAGGAACTAGTCGACGACCAGCTTGAGCGTTTTCCCGATAGAGGGCGCCGTTTGTTCCATCAATTTACCGACATGTCGATAATTTGTAGGGATTCTACATAAAAGAATAACGATCACGAACATAAAACCGAACTTTATCAACAAGATGATTTATTTTAACAAAAACAATAAATTAAGATTAACAATTTGAATTCAAGGAGCTGATTGAAAATACGTCTGAACTTAATAGTGGTTATTAAGGCAATGTTAAAAATAATTGCTACTAACTGAAAAATGAACTACGTGATAAAAGAAAACGCACTTAAAATCTGCTATGTTCAAACCCAATTACAAACAATTCAATGTGAATTATAGTACATGTAAAAAATCGATAAATAACTCTACAAATTTGAACAAATGGCCCCATCTAGCAGTGCATATAGGAACTATTCGGCGACAAACTTGAGCGTTTTACCGATAGAGGCGCTGTCCAAACTTCGAATATTAATTCAGCCTGTTCACCGCGAGATGGCGATCCATTTCGCGGTGTCCATGATACGCGGGAATTCAAAATTTACTTGCAACAGAAATTGTTGATTCATTTATTTATTCGTGAAAAGGTATCCGTCTAATAACTCTTTAGTTTCGTCACTGATTGACGCATTTAATTAGGCAATTGTTGCACACCGTACACGGCACCGTTGCTGCCGTTACACCGCATCAGTGGTTGGATGCGTTGCACATGTTTTTTGGAAATTAAGAGTTCAAAGAGAAACGGTCCACCGAGTTGTTGCTCGGCGAAATCACTTTGAACGCTCGTTAACAGGTTTTATCGCCGGTGTGCATGCATGAGAGTACAGGAAAGCACAGGTGAAGCATGTACACGGGGGAGTTGTTCCGCTTTCAGCAATCGTAAAGCGCAGGTGCGCGTCGTTGCACAATGAACAATGCACGAAACGCGTCGCGCGATCGCCGTTCCTGTAACGGTCAAAGACGACAAATTCGATGAAAAAGGAACAAGAGAAAGGAAAAGCAACATCTAGAAACGACGCGATAACGCGTAGTGCGAAGGGATGTCAGACGAACAGGTAGATTTAACGATACGTAACGACAATACGAATTATATTTAAATAAAACGACTAGGGAACTCCACGAATCGGTGAATTACGACGCGTATTAATATTGAACGTCACGAGTCGGCGAATCGAGGGGCTAATTGTAACGCGTTGACGGCTACAACGTTGTATAAAATTAAATTGAGCAAAACAATCGCGCTGGATTTGAATGCGAATCGCGCGGTAGATCGCGATCGGGAATTTAAAATCGCTGTGACCGAAACACTCGACGGGTTTGAAACCTGAATATTATTCGGAGAAGGGTGGCGAGACTGTGAGAGAGAGGGCGAATAAAAAAAAAATTGGTGCCCAGAGACACGACGCCATTTCCCATGAAGCCGGCGAAGCGCGGACGGAGAACCGATCGCGCGTGCAAAGTTTAAATTTCGTGAATTCGATAGCTCGATCAAGCATCGAGAACGCGTGCATCGCCGGCCACGTGGACCATATGCTTCACGTGCCCCCAGCATGGAAGTAATGGGTCACGATTACACAAAGAAGACCCTGTCGAAGGATGGACGCGTCACCGGCCGTGGCCTCAAGTTTTTCGACGATACAGTAGACGAAACCAGACGATTACAACCATTTCCCTTTCTTTCTTTCTTTCACGTTCCTTCTCGACGAATGTTTAAACTAAATCAAAATATTCAAGTTCTATGTTAAAACTGTCATACTTGAATTCGGTAAAAAAAATTACATTTCTCCAATCGCCTGTACGTTGCTGATAAAAAAACCGAGCAGCCGAAACCTTTCCGCTGACAGAAGAGACACGTGTCTATCGATCGTCGCTTAATCCGGAAGCGAACGGCGGGAGGACACGCGTTCAAAGGATTCCCAAGACTGTTTTCCGTTGAACGGCTGAATATTGTTCCTCGACGAAAAGAAGAAAGAAATTATCAATTAAAAACAGACTAGGCGGGGTTCATCGGGGATCCCAGCTCCGTTATTTAGTCAACGGCTCGTGCAATTTTAATCTCTTTAATCGTATGCCGCCGTTACACGATTCTAACTTACCTTGAATTGACCGAAATTAAATAATTTAGGCCCGGAGTCGGTTAAGTCTCCCACGCGGTGCTTCGTGCGGCGAACAGAATGGCGAGTGACATTTTCAGAGAATAAGTTAAACTTGAGAATAAATTTATTCTCGTTTATATAGACCATAAATGTTTCATTCGGTTCGACGGATGCTAAAAACTTCCAAAGGATCGCGTAACGGGGGTTCCGACGAATATTTCCAAGCAATTGCTCGTAAACGCCGAGTAACCGATACGAATTCGTCGTGGCGTAGCAGAAAAGTAGCGGGCATAATATAATAGCGTTATCTGATGCGGCTTTCGTTCCGGTAAATTTCATCGGGGATCCCCGCTCGCGTGGTAATACGCGCTCGTAAAGCGTTATTATGAATTTGCATATTCCAGATACGCGCGGACTGCTTCCCTCCTGCAACAAACTCCGCTCCTCGCCTTCGCTCGTTAATTTAACTTCCTCTCGCGTTCCCGGTGACGCGTGTGCGAATGTCCGCGCTATACACGTCGCGTCGGAGACAAACGCATCGGGTAATGTAAACATTTATCGCGTTAAAAATATCGAATATTCGTTTGGAAGTTTGCGAAAGTACGCAGGCTCGGTGGATTTCTGATAGTTATTCTTTAAACGTCGACTTCCGAAATCTCTGGTCGACGTGTACGCGCCGATACAGGAAGTTCGTGTCACGCGTCGAGCAATCGGCGTATTCGTGGCATCCGCTTTTGTTCGTGCATCTTTCGCGACGCATTGTGGCCAACCACTCGTCCGTGTAACTCCAGCAGTGGTCCAGGAAGGGGTTTTGTAACCCTTGAAACGCGTCCTTGGCAGATGGTCGATCAAGAACGAACGATCCGTCAGGACCTCGTCCTACGGATCTCCGCGGGAGGAGACGATTGCAATCGTTGGAAAGTTCGCCGGATGACGATCGAAGGATAAACGTCGAAAGGGTAGCCGTCGCTATCGAGCAGATGTATCGATATCGCTAGATGTTGCCAGCCCACGTTGCGTATTCTTTGGAAAACGTGCTAATAGGTTTTCGGCTGCGTAACGAGCACCCCCGCGAAGCGGTGGTTTCTCGGCAAATTTGGCAAATCGTTGGGACGAAAATTATGGCCGCGGCACAATGGCGAGGGTCACGCTAGGGATCGACAACGAGATCGTTCTGTTTGCCGGTCTCAGCCATTATTCCAACCATTCCAGACGGCAAGGGACGCGTCATTTATTGGAGGACAAACGTTGTCGTCGAAAGGACTCGCAGCGAGTTTGCGCCGATGAATAAAGACGAAATTACTTTGGATTCGAAACGGGCTAAGGAACCAAAATCCGACGTCTGAGTTGTTTCAATGAAAAGCGCAACGATCCATCGTTCGTATCGACGATTGTATTATGCACTCGTTGGGATGTCCGGATGGAGGCAAAACAACTATAGTTGAGAATGACATCGCTTCGCGCGGAAACATCGAGTGCTCGGTGCATCGGACCTATTATTTGCAGTGATATGGTTCGGTAGCCGCACACCGAAATCGTAACGTTGCGGAACTTTTGAAAAGTCACGGATTCGGTGAAATCGGTAGCTGGAAGAGAGAGAGAGAGAAGAAAAATCGGCCGAAACCGTGAATTAGACAGCTGCGAGGAACAATGGCGAGCGTAAAGAGAGCGAAGGGTTGCGTTCGTTTAATACACGGTTAATGTCAATTTTCGTGGGCGCGTGCAACCACATCCTGTGCAATTTTTGTCAAGGTCTTTTCTCTCTCCCTTTGCTTCTTACGTTCTTACGCTCGCGTCGAATGCACGACGGCGACGGAGGTACCAATCGACGATCGCAACCACCCACGGGCCACAGAAATCAAAGGGGAGTCAGGACCAACGCATTATGCGTTGACCGGTGGCTCAAGCTAAACCGCTGTACGCGCGAAACGTTAACAAAGGCCGCACCGTGATCGAGCAAAAATGAGAAATGAAAAATTGCAACGCGGAGGGCCGGCCCAGCGGTGACTTTTGGCATACGCG